TGAGAGGTGCTCATCGTGTGATTGGACCAGAACAGAATTATGCCACGAGCTGTAAAGGCCAAATGGACAAAACATTCAACCGAACTGTAGAAGGTAGGATATGGCTCCCTTAATGACGAGTAAGTGCCGAAAGGGATGTACAAGATAGGAAACAACTGATGACAGCTAGCACCCTTGGTCCGGGGATAATTCCTCTTGAATATTACGTATTCTAGGCAAAACCAGCGCGAGCCAAATGCTTCAAAATGCTGGCGTTCCGTCAGGTCATCGTAAGGTAAGGTAGTGAGGGTTCTCATAGCCTTGAACACGGGGCCTGGGACCTTCAAAAAGTTAACCAATGTTCGTATTTCAGTGAGGAATCTGGATCTCTGATTGCCCCTGGTTTGGTGCATGCATTGGGTACTTGATGCAGCGAATTGCAGAATTTTTCTGGAATCCAACCGAATACGAAAAGTGCAGCTGTAAGACTGCACCTTACAGCCCCCGAACACAACCTAAAGCGGTACGTACCTGTAAGGCAATGAGACTGGCGTAGCAGCACTGTAGAGCAGTTATGGACGTCGATACCGAGTCACTGACGATGGCAAAGCGGGAACAAGATACAATGGACGCGGCACATACATAGTACCTACCTACCGGCTAGGCCCTTAGCGTGCCTGATTCCGTGTAATCTGTGGCTCGTCCCCCATGGCTGGTGAACAGGATCGAGGGCACCATTGGATGTGGTGACATAGATGACTGGCTTGCTCTCACTTTGGACGTAACATTCTCATCCCACGCAACGGTTCAAGTTGGTCTCTTGCTGACTGCAGTTGACATGGATTGACTGACCTTGTTGGTCTTGTACTTTGTTTGATGCTGTGCGACTTGAAAGGCCTTTGCGATCTGGGGTAAGAGGTATGTATGAACGGGGAGGGGCAATGAATCCGCTCTACGATTCACAGGAGGACATGATTCGAATCACTGTCCGCATAATGTTGGGATGGAAAGAATGAGGAGGAGAATTGTTAGAATCATACTTAATCGGAAGAAACTGGAAGGAATTTACCTGTAACAGACTGTGGAAGTGAAGGCGCGATGGATGGTATGTAGTCGACGGTGGGGTAGCTTCCATGAGGGGGGAAGGGGTGGGGTTGTGTTGGAGAAGTTGGAGATGCCAAGCCGGATGCTAAAAATAAAAGCACCATAAGCGCCGGCCAAGACCGGCGTATGTACACTATGTACCAATGGAAGAGGGAACTAACAAACCACTTATGCAAAGCATCTGATAGTGTTCTGCAGTTGCTCTAGGTACAAAACACTACCAGTCGGCACCAACTCGTGGTGTATGGTATTGCACTGTACGAATTGAGTGATGGGACGTCGCGTGCTTCCATCTTTCCAATCTTGGAATACACCTGATCTCTAGACTAGAGGTATCTTCCACCACTTTTGATCGACTCCAACCGTTCAAAAAACTTGTTAACCTCACCGCAACACCTCGATTTGTCCATCTCCAATGCAACACAAAGCGCAGCACTGCCGAACTGCTTCATCATCCATGCACCTCGCTCGTCCCAAAAGACAAATTCGGAAACCTCCTCCAATCGAGGCAGCTCAATCCTGTCTTGCTTGGATGATGCCCCGCGTTTGACGGGATCACCGGGCATGGCCATCATGAAGGCACCTAGGTAGATGGATGATCTATCGAAACCTTGCCTTCATTCCTCACAACATTGATTTGCAGTAGCATCTAAGCATGATCTCCAGCATCGAGCATGCATCGCGGGCCCGCATCAAGTTCCGGTCCCTGCTAGCCTGACTGGCTGCCTGATGGGCCTGTGGCTTGCACCGTCTTTCAACACCATCACACTGCCACCTGCCCAAGACCACAAAGCATGGCGATATGGCTGACCCAGTTTGCATCGACACAAAATCCTGGTCAGTATCCATGGCAGATATCATGATGTATGCATATCGCAACCGCCGCCACGCATTGTTTGTACCTTACACACCTCCACTGCACACAAACTTCAGACCGCAATGCCGGCACATCGGGACCATCATTACATCCCAGGTCCTTTGCGGGTCACTTTGTGTAGCTGGCGTGCCTGCGCCTGATCACCAAACTCACCGCGGATATTAGGCGCGCCGGCCGACGACCCAGAACTTACTGCCTGTTCGGCACCTCTCATTTGAGGCCCATGAAAGCGAATGAAAAACTGTGGTCTACGCGCGCTGGACAGCTCGTCACAACTCGCTCTCTGCTTCATCTGCCGAAGAGCATCACCGAGAGAAACATGATGCGATATCATGGGTGCATTGCCCTCGGCAGCTGCTAGTGAATGTTGCCCGAGGCCGCAGTCCATTCTTCAGCTGTCAACACCCTACACGGGCGCCCCCTTCATTATCCTCCACCAGCACAGCTGAAGCTCAGCCGTTATCAGATGGATCTTGACTATATACGCTCGCTTGTTTGCCTTGCATGCGAGGCTAATGGAGCTGATGGCCTGTAGTGGAAAGGCTGATTAACCTTGCTCCCACTCTGTACGCCTACCCGGCCTGGGTTTCAGGTCTTGCTCATGCAGCCAATTCGATTTTGTTTCAGAGGACTGTCCCCGTGTTTGGCCCCCGCTTCTCCATTGACTGTCGGCCCGCAGGCCTCAGCTTCAGCCGTTCAAGTGTCCGGCAGTTTCCGGGTCAGAAGCCCGAAGCCTCCTTCGTTGAGCCTCATGGGCCCTAGCAAGGGCTTGATGATGTGTCTTGGAGACATGCCCAAGGTTTCATATGCCTGCTGCCGTTCACATGGCCAAATGCAACAAGGTACCACGTCTATTCATCTCGACCAGATCTCATGATAAATGGATGCTGCAACCGACTAAGAGGCGAGCACGTAGTGTATACTCGTCACGTCAACGGCACCTTTCACCATCTATCATCTACTTTGAAGTTCTGCACTTGAGCAGTTGAGCTTGGCTCCCGAGCCGTGACCCAAGCAAACCTGCATAGAGAATTCCTCGAAATAGGATTTCTGACCTGGCGCTGTGCAGTGGGAACGGCCACGCCAATGAAAATCGACGATGGCGTTCCCCCCTTGTCCGCGTCCACCACCCACTATGTCATTCTTCATCAGCGGAATGCGACGATATCTAGTCGCGTCTAGACGAAAGAACACAGGTTCGAAAACAAAATGTTGAATCCAGAACCCGAGCACAGCCAGTCAAGGCAATAACATGCACTGCAGCATGTTCCATTGGTCAAACCTTGGCCTGTTCGAGATATTCGACGTTGGATGGAAGAAAAGTAGAATTATCCCAACCTTGTAGTTGCCCCTGGCCCACAGCGGACCGAGCCTCTTGCACCTCGTACATTTACACGGCTATGTACTACTAGGTGTGGACACTGTACTCCACTGCTGTATGTACACCTCTACCGGTACTCACTACCTACCTTAGTGTAATCTGTTAGCGCGGTATCGCCACTTAGTGTACAATTTCACCGCGCTAACAAAGCAGTGTAAATGCCTGCACAGGTGTACACTACACATAACGCGGTACCATATCCTCGACGACTCAAGAGCCGACAGATGCGGGACAAGCGCCGCCTAACGAGCATGTTTGACAAGTTGTGTGGAAGGCCGACTTGGCTCCATCACGACACCTAGTTCGACTCCTTTCTCAAAGTCCGCGTCCGGTGTATCCTTGAACATGTCCGAATCCACATCTTGTCATAGCGGTACATAGCGCAGATTATGGGTCGAAAAGCGCCACAAGTCGACCGTCACACAACGCATCGAGTTGTCCCCATTTTAGATGCTTGTGTCACGATTTGGCCGGGCTTGCAGGTAGGAAGAGCTGCGCCTCCAGCTCTCCTTGTCAGAGTACCTCTAGCGGGCAGGGGACGTCCCCAGTGACCAAGGCGAAGAGAAAGCTACTACCTCTACCAACTGGCTCAAGTGAAGATACTGTGTATGGTACACGGTAGGACTGTCCAACCTTCACACGTGAACGCCCACTGTCATGGGAACGAACATGCAAGCTACCTATGTATGTGACGGCCGCACGATGACATCGGGTTTGCAAAGCTGATGCGTCGCAGCAGACACCACCTGCGCGCTTGTCTGATCGCGACTATCACTTTGACTTGGTGGGCTTCAAACCACTTGATTGGTGCCGCCATGGCGTCTAACGCATGTGTGCTTGCCATCGCGGCAAACATCATGTTGTTGGGTTTAGCAGCCCATGACTTTTAGGAGGTATCTTGAGATATTTTCTGGAAAGTAGGTACCTAGTGTACAGTCAGTAGTGTAGTCCTCCCGTCCCCCAAACTTTTCCGTCTAGGTACGTACCTGCGTACCCGATATCTCCCCTGTCTGTCCTATGGACCCTTACCACCCCTGCCCCTTCCTTGCACACATTCACATCCCCAGCTGACAGGGACTGACCCCTGGTCGCAGTAACAGCCTCTCTCAAACGGGTGCGCACCCAGCCTCTGCAAGGTAGGCTTAAGACGGTACATACCAATGGATGATTTTCCCTTGCATCCCATCATTTTCGTTGCTACCACACACACTCTCTCTAGCCTTCACGTATGTCTCTTACTCACGCAGCGCTCTGTTGCTACTCTGCCGCAGCACGCAACGACAAGTCTACCTTAGCGACACAGTACGGTGCAAAGGCCATCTCGATATGGCAGTGCCTCCAGCGCGCCGCGAGCCCGTACCTACCTAGTACGCAACCTTTCGACATGTCTCCACTCGGATCGCCCAACGACGCGGCCTTTCTCTACTACTCGGAGGAAGGCTGAGGGCTTGTCTCCTGCCTTTGCTCACATACTACCCATCAACTGAAGTCTCGTCTTCGCGCGTGCTGCAGCCGCGCTTGTACGTACTACGTACTGCCCTGCCAGATCTGGCTTGACGTTTCCTCTTTGACTGCTACCTCTGCTCTTGCGGATATTCAAACCGGGCTGTGTATTACTAACTTGGTGTCTGACTTCCAAATTTGAGATTGCCGCCCACAATGGCTAGCCTCAAGTTCATAATGGATGTCAACGAGGACCATACCGAGTCTCACCACATCAATAAAAAGGACGTCGCCTCGGACCATCCAGTCAACATGGGCCATCCCCATAGACCACCTCTCCATACTCAACTACCATCACTACCACCGACAACGTTACCACCTATCACGCTCCCGAGATATGACAGTAACCCCGGACCATCTATCCAACCTCGAGATATCAGCCTAGCTGTTTCCTCTTCTCAGACCAAGAGCCAGGGCATTAGCTGGGGATCCAAAGGCGTCAACCCTCTTGCATCTTCGATTCCACTAGCTGTTCATATCAGGTCCACGATGCGCCGTCGTAGCACAGCGAGCAATGACTCGGCGGATCATACTACGGGGTATGGGTCTGCGTCAACATCATCAACGGGCGGCAACTACCCCCAGTCGCACACGCCATTGAGGCCAATGCGTTCACAGTCCCATACTTCCGAGCTTCCCATGAGGCTCACGCCCATCACGGGCCGAGTGAGCAGAGCAAAGAAAGGCATACCGGTGCATGTTTGCGACATCTGCAGGCCATCAAAGGCAAGAAGACTTCACATGTCCTGTGAGTACTGCTATTTCTGCTAACACTATCGAACAGACCTTTACGAGGGCAGAGCATCTGAGACGTCATCAACTTGGTCATGGGCCCCCAGAGTACTCTTGCCCATATCCCAATTGTGACAAGGCGTTCCATCGGTCGGACCTGCTGGTGCGACATCAGCAGAGACAGTAAGTACCGATGTGGAACTGGTGCGCAGCCAAATTTGTACTAATCATGATGTTGCTCGCAGTGAGCAAGAAGGCGATAAAGTGCTTCAAACTGTACCAGGTGACCACAAGCATGACAATCCTGGTCCACCCTCTCCACCGATCGGATTTGTACCGTCACGGTCGGGCCTAAGGCCATCTGGCGGGCTATCACCAGGCTCTTCCGATCCTTGTGGAAGAGTACTACGCCATGATACAGTATCAGGAATGCAGCCAGAGCCAGATTGTGCCGAAGCCCAAGATCCGTATCACTACCCCCCTGGGCCTCAATACAACCCGGTTGTATCGTCCCCGGACATCAATTGGCCGCCCCAACCGCCTAGGATACTGCCGCTAGAATCGAGAATGGAAACACCCATTCCGGACGTACCTATGTCAGACTCCTGGCGTCATTCTCCTTCGACGACGACCACCTCAAGCTATTCAACAACTCCAGTATCTGGTACGGAGATATGGACAGGTCCAGTGATGACTCCCTTTCCGAACCTTCCCCAATTATACCCATCGAGTTCCGACACTGGAGATCAAATCCAACAGGAAAATATGTTCACCCGTCGCTTAGCAAACTCACCGTCTTACAATTCCGGCTCACGGCCGCGGCCCTACAATCATCTTATCGTGCCTCCTAGAGCAGGTGGAGCGACCTCCCCGCAAGGCTCTTACCACCAGCACCAGCGTGGTAGCTCGTTTTCGTCTGTTCGTAGTTCAACCCCGCCTCTGAACACGCCTTCTCACACACAAACTTTAGTGTTGCCTGCCACTGCTCTTCAACCTCAGTTGGACACCCGGATCCAGAAAGAGGCGCTGTTGGACTGCTCGTATGGTATGCCGGGTGCTCCATTCCCTTTGGAGGACATCGGCATGTTTGACGCTATGAGAGCTGGGCTTGAGGGTAGTGCCGATCCCAGCTACAGCAGCGACGATGTTGGTTATGAAAACGGAAACTTGGTTACACTGGGTTTGCCGATAAGTAATGGGTGCGAGTTCACCGGGGCCACTCTTCCTAAATCACTAATGAATCCTCTCCACGGCGCTCTTCCGCGGTATCTTGCGGTATACTGGGAGAAAGTTCACCCCCTGCTCCCAATAGTCCATCGAGCTTCCTTCGAAAACGCGCCTGAAGAGGTGCTGCGGTATGCCATGGCTGCGATGGCGACCCAGCTTCTCGATGACGAAGAAGATCGTGTCAAGGGCAGCCGATTGCATGATTTGGCTTGGAGGGAGGTAAAGAAAGTGAGTCGGCCACTCTCAGTCCCTTCAAGGAGGACCAAGCATGGTCTTTGCAGCATAAAGTTTTGTTCACTGACGGTTGGGGTCAATATAGACACTACAGTGGAATATCCAAGTCATGCAGGCCATTTTTCTATGCGAATACTTCGCCCGGTTACGCGGACAGAATGCCGTTATACGACCCTCGAGGTTGTTTGAGGATCTCTACAAGAGGGTGAGTGCTTCACAGTTCCTTACTGTGTCGTCTTTCTCAACTCCCGAAAGCATTCAAGGATCATGGGCCATTGATCCCAGTGCCTGGTCCCCTGGTTCGTTATCTGTTACTTCGGACTGCTCTTCTATTTCCATGGCAGCCACCTCAAACACGATGTCATCCATTGCACTGCGACACCTCAGTGCTTTGGATCCTGCCCACATCGGCAATTTTCCATCGTCTTATTCATCTTCAACCTCCTCTCCTCTCGGCATTGTTTCTCCGTCTTTCACTTCTTATAATGATAATCTCAATAACTTCTCTTCTCCTCTCACGCCTGCCCAGCCGTCTCGGCGGAGAAGGTTTGGGTCGTCTCATTTTACATCAAATCATCACTCTTTGGGCTTTTCTCTTCCTTCTCAGCCACAGCTTGAGGTCAGCGAACAGACGTACTTACAGGGTGCTTTCAACCCACAGGTTTTGTATCATCACCCAACTATGATCGACTATACTGCCTCCCCTTCGGATCAACAATCATCGATTCACGCCTCCTGGAAGAACTGGGTTGATGCAGAGGCACATCGCCGTCTCCTGGCAGCATGCTTTTTCCTCGATGGACACGTCGCTATCTATCAGCAGCAGCCGCAACTAGGCCAGTCCTCAGTGGCCTCAAAACTGACACACCCACCTATCCCTCTTATGGGCTCGAGCTTGAGGCTTTGGGAGGCTTCTTCAGCAGCTCCCTGGGCGAAGATCCTTGCGGAAGACCCTTCGGCTGGCATCCCAGTTTTTGCGCCCTCGCCAGGAACCATTACCCCCGATTTCGTTTCAAGGCAGATCAGCATCGATCGCATGATCATTCTTGTAGCTGAATATCTGCGAATCCCATGCAGGCAGGGCTTGACCGCACCATCTGCCTCGGCCCGAAAGTCCTCAATGAGCGAAGTCGATCCCCAATTGCATAACATGAATAGCCAGTTCAGTCCTCTTCAGCAGGAATCACCTTGCTTTCGGCCCGACTTCTTGCAACCCCCAGATTCAAGAACTCGCGGTTCGCTTGACGTAGAGACACGTCTTGGAAGCCTTTTCCCCGGTTGTCCTATCGCCAGTACCTACCTCGCATTGCATCATACCCCGCTTCGTGATCTTCTTGCTGTCAGCGGCGAATCATGGTTGTTCACCAAGAAAGTCTTGTCAGCCGCAGCATTTGGCATTCACCAAAGGTGCCTGAAAGCCTGGGCAGAGAATTATCACTATCATCAAGGCGGGGATGCGAATGTACCTACTGATATGGCCAATCTTAGTGTGGTCAAGGCAACCAAGTATGCCGCCCGCTCTATTGTACAGTTCCTGAGTCCCGTTTCTCCTGGGGTCTCCCGGTATGCACCAGTCAAGGGTGCGGCAACAGAAGACCGATCGTCATTCTGGGGAAAGGACATATCCGATTACTGGGCTCTGTACGTCTGTGCCTTGATATTCTGGGCTTTCGGCCACAGAGCCCGGTCGATCCCTACGATTAGCTCTACGATCGCTGCTGCTACAGACGTTCAACAGCAGCAGCAGCAGCAGCAGCAGCATCATTCGACCAAGCGTCAGCGAACGGGCGATATTAGGGCTAGTTTTACCTCGAGGCACGGAAGCTCGGCGGCAGCCGACCAGCGCGCTATGAGTTGGCTGCGCATGCTGGGTGCGGACAACGTCACAGAGGAAGATATCATCCGGGCACGGAGCCGTCCTGAGTCGATGAGCGTTGTCTCCCTGGTGCGTCGTCGACTGGAAGTTGACTGCATTGGGGGCAAGAACATGCTTTATGTGGAAGCTGTCGCGGTCCTCAGGAGGCTAGAGGAGGACGGGGAGAGAAATGATAAACCTTGGTTCTAATCTTAATGATTCGTATTTAAAAGAAAAAAAGTATGTTCTCAGCATATACACGTATTCAAGAAGATCGAGATGAAAAATGTCTGGGGTAATTGGGGAGGGTTGGTGTGATGTGGTGAGTTGGAGCTAACAATGGGTCATGTTCTTGGGAACGGTGGTAGGTGCTGAGTTTGGTCGTGCTTGTTTCTTTTCTCTAAGGGTATGGTACAGTACAATCTCTCATTTCTGGACGGAAAAGGCAGGGAGGAGGGGAAGAGATTCTTTCATTTGCGACGGGCGGTAAAGCTGTTTGGCGTGGCGATATACTATACGACTTTATACGACTTTCACGGGGCACGACACGCGACCTTGTTATACTTTTCTGGATGACCTACCTACTACACACACCTTTTACGACGTCATGCACTTTCATCTCTTTACAGCATGTTTGAGTATGGCGACTTTTTCTTCGTTTGCTCTTCACAGTCATGCATGCAATTCTCCGTTTGCTGTTCCCAATTATTCAGTTTCTTCATCCGCTGGTCATTGCTATGGCCGCACGCTCAGCGACAACTTGACGTCACATTTGCATCGTCAATCGCTTTTCCTTCTCTTCTTCGACAAAAACAACAAAGCCAAAGGATCTCAGCACTATCATCACTTGTTTCTTGGACGGATAAATGACCGAAGATGGATGCTCCCAGACAAACACGTAATGGCTGTAGAAATGTTGATAGACCTTTTCTATATCATACCTATTGTATTGTTATTAGTCCAAGATAAAGATAATGTTCTCCCTTTGGTACTATCTCTCGGATCCACCTTCGCTATACTTCTACTTACACGGACCATGATATTTATTCTTCTCTTCAATATATTGTCATGTTTTCTTAAAGCCTTCACCTTGTTGTGTGGTCTTCGCTGTACCTATTTCTGCCTCGTGCACAACTCGTTTCGTTTCCCTTTTCTCATCGAGAGCACTAACCCCGCATGGAACAGAGTCATGGGCATCGAGTAGAAAAGCAAAGAAACTGATTATTGAAAATTATAAAGAACTTAACAAGAGCGATCAAGAGGCAGAAAGATACATATGCGGATGGTGCACAACGAATGAGACAGAGATGAGAGAGACTGAGAATGTCCTGGTATTTCCGAACGGACAAGAAGGGCCTTCAGGATATACCGCTCAAAGAGAGGTCGCAAAAAGGCATTAAGGCCGAGTATTGATCAGCACAGGATGGCGCAATGCGGTGAATTCAACGTGGCCCCTTGTTTCATGTATGGAACCTAACAAAAACAAAACATGATATCATATACGCACGACGATGCCCCCATCTTTTTTGGCTCGCCCCTTTCTTCTTTTTGAATCCGTACACCGTGGCGCCGCCATTCCGTATGTGTTGTTAAAAGACAAGAATAGAGACTACCGGCGTACACATACTCCAAAACCGGTTCTACCGCACCCTTGAGTTGATCGTGAATGCATTATATACCCAAACCGCAACACCAAACTCATGTACCCAGGCAAAGGACGAATATATCTAGAGCGAAACCGACAAGAAATGGCTGCAAGGCGAAACAACCAGCTTTCAACTAAACTCAAATCTTCTAGAACAGACCCTGGATCTCACCAGTCTCGGTATCCACGTCCACATTAAAGTAACCAGGAGCCGTAGGCAGACCAGGAATAGTCTGGATATCGGCAGCCAAAGCGTAGAGATACCCGGCGCCAGCGGCCATACGGACATCTCTGATGGGGACGGTGAAGCCGGTGGGGGCACCCTTAAGCTCGGGGTCGTGGCTGAGTGAGTATTGGGTCTTGGCGATGCAGATGGGCAGGTTGCCGAATCCCTGGCGAGTATAGGTATCGACCTTCTTCTGGGCGAGCTCGCTGAACTCGACGCTGGCGGCACCGTACATCTCACGAGCGATCTTCTCGATACGCTCCTGGACGGTGTTGCCCTCAACCTCATATAGAAGCTTCTGAGTCTCAGGGGTAGACTTCTCGCTAGCAGAAATGACGGCCTGAGCGAGGTCAACAGCACCCTTACCACCCTCGGCCCAATGGTTGGCGAGCACGGCGTCCTCGGCACCGGCCCTGATGGCCTCCTCGCGAACAACGTCAATCTCGGCCTGGGTATCAGTCGAGAACTTGTTGATGGCAACGACGACAGGGACACCATACGAACGGGCGTTCTGAATGTGCTTGGCGAGGTTGACGCAACCAGCGCGCAGGATCTCAACATTCTCCTCCTTGTACACAGGGTTGAGCGGCGCACCGGGCGAGATCGGGGGACCACCACCATGAACTTTGAGGGCACGGATAGTAGCGACAACAACAACAACGTCAGGCATGAGGCCGGAGGTGCGGCACTTGATGTTGAAGAAACGCTCGCCACCCATGGTGAAGTCGAAACCGGCTTCAGTAACGACAAAACCAGACTTGGTAGCGTAATCCTCATCGGGCTCCGTACCGGCAAGCTTGAGGGCCATCTTGTCGGCCAGGATCGAGCTGTTACCAATACTAATGTTGGCGAAAGGACCGGCGTGAACGAAGACTGGAGTGCCCTCCAAGGTCTGCATGAGGTTTGGCTTGATGGCATCCCTCATCAAGACAGTCAGGGCACCGCCAACACCAAGGTCGTCAGCAGTGACAGGGTCGCCGCTCTTGGAGCTGGCAACAACCATTCTGCCGAGACGCTCACGCATGTCAGCAAGACTAGTGCTGAGGGCCAGAATAGCCATGCATTCACTGGCAACAGAAATGTCGAAGCCAGTATCACGCTTGTGGCCCTTCTCGGTGGGAGCATTGCCGATAACGATACCGCGCAGATGACGGTCGTTTACATCCAGAACACGTCTCCAGGTAATGGTCTCGGGGTCAATATCGAGACGAGCAAAGCGGCTAATCTCCTCCTCGGTGAGATCATCGGGGTTCGTCTTCTCAATGCCAAGCTTCTTCAAGCGGCGGAACATGATGGGAGGGAACTCCCTCTTTCCGTTTTTGGCAGGGACTAGACGTTTGTAAAGAGGACCGTCCTTCTGGGTGTTCTCATGGAACATGCGGGTATCGATAGCGGCAGCGAGAAGGTTGTTGGCGGCGGTGATGGCATGGATATCACCAGTCAAGTGAAGGTTGAACTCATCCATGGGGATGACCTGGCTGTAACCACCACCAGCAGCACCACCCTTGATGCCGAAAGTAGGACCCTGGCTGGGCTGGCGGACGTTGGCGAAAGTCAAACGACCAACGTGAGCACCAAGAGCCTGAGCCAGGCCCATAGTGGTGGTGGACTTACCCTCGCCGAGAGGAGTGGGGGTAATACCAGTAACAACGACATAGCGACCGTTACGGCGGTGCTCAAGGCGCTTAAGGATGCTGAGGTCAACCTTGGCCTTGTAAGCACCATAGGGCTCGAGCTCGGAGGGCGCAAGACCGATCTCGGTGGCAATTTGGGTGATGGGCTTGGGAACCTGAGCCCTGGAAATATCGATATCGGAAGGAACGGGCTCCGCCAGCTTTAGGGGGAGAGGAATGGATCCCCTCTTCTTCTGGTTCTCGAAGTAGGAACTAGTGGCGTCAACAACGTTTTGCAAAAGCATAGCAACCGTCATGGGACCGACACCGCCGGGAACAGGAGTTATGGCGGAAGCGACCTGGGAGGCCGACTCGAACTCGACGTCACCAACCAGGCGGACGCCAGACTTCTTTGTATCGTCGGGAACGTAGTTGGTACCGACATCAATGACAACGGCACCCTTCTTGAGCCACTCGCCCTTGACAAAGTTAGGCTGGCCGATGGCAGCAACAACAACGTCGGCCTCCTTGAGGTACTGCTGGAGATCGGCGGTCTTGGAATGGCAGACGGTGACGGTAGCGTCGGCGTTCTTGAGGAGGTAGCTGACAGGGCTGCCCACGATATCGCTACGACCGAGGACAACCGCGTTCTTTCCCTTGAGCTCAACACCAGCCTCGGCAAGAAGGGCCATGACACCCTTGGGGGTGCAAGGGATGAAATAAGGGTGGCCGCCGCGCTTGGCAAGCTCGCCGATGTTGAGGGTGCCGAAACCGTCGACATCCTTCTCGTCGGCAACGGCCGATGTGACAGCATACTCGGAAATGTGCTTAGGGAGGGGCAACTGGACGAGCATGCCATGAACGGTCGAGTCGTTGTTGAGCTGCACCACCTTGGCAACAAGCTCGGCCTCGGTGGCATTCTCGTCGAACTTGATCAGCTCAGCCTCGATACCGCACTGTAATTGATATCACATGTCAGTCCGAGTCCTGCCTGCCAGTCGTCTGATGTAGGACAGGATATCCCCGAGCTTGTGCGTACCTCCTCAGCAGCCTTCAACTTCATGCGCACATAGGTAGCTGCATGGCAGACAGACGGTCAGTCAGCAAGGGACAATGCGTGGCACAGAAATGTTGCTGTGATGGCGGGGTAGATAAAGTCTCAACGTACAGGAATCGGATCGATCACCAACTGCAGTCAACTGGTTAGCCACTGGGTTTCATCTGCAAAAGCACGCAGCACACACACAAGCGCACCTTGGATGATCTTGAGGCAGGGGCGGAAGCGCGGGTTGGTCTTCTTGGTCTCCTCGATGGTAGCGCGGAGACCGTCGCGGATGCGCTTGGCCAGCGCGGTGCCGTCGATCTTGGAGGCCATTGCTGCTTCAGGCTCCCTTGTTGCGGCTCTGGGAGAAGCTAAACTGGAATATGTCCTGATGGAGCTGCGCGGATGGCCAAAAGCAGCAGCGTATCGAGAGACAGGACCCTGAATGTGAGAAAAGCGGGAGGAGGAAGATGGTGCAAAGGGTAAAGTGTCAGGCAGAGGCAGAGTTGAAGATGAGGGGGAGAGCAGCGCATTAGCTCCAAAATCGCTAGCAGCTGCTGCCCTGGCGATAGCAGCGGCGCATGACGGTGACACCAGAAACGACCCCGTAAGCCCCGTCACTGGAGATAGGCGCCAATAACGGGATTTCTTAGGGCGGCTGCAGGTGGATCGCGGGGCGGCGGAGAAGTCAGTAGTACCAGCTTCAGAGGCGACGAAAGCCGAGGTAGAGCTCCGAGAGTCGGATTCCGTGCCCCACGACAATGTCCATCTTTTGAGCATGTCTTGTCCCGTATGCTCAACTTGAATGCGCCGCCATGTGCTCAACGACCCGTGTGCGGACAGGGATGTGAGACATCTTCCGGCTCGACGCGACTTCCTTGACGTGGAAGACACCCTCTGGATGAAGCTGGAGATGGCCATGCCTACACGACGCAGACTGGTACTGTAGAGCTAGAAGAAGGGTGCAGTGGTCTTTCTGCGTGCGTGCTGTAACAACATCACCCTGAACAGCAGCGGACGCAGGCTCGGGGTAAGGGATATTCAGAAGCTCAAGGCTTCCGCCCGGCCAAGCTCTGTCGACGCCCCCGGGCACCTCCACGACGGGGTGGGGCCGGGACCCAGGGGTTTTCTGCGCCGCACAGAGGAGTCACAATGGGTTCCCGCCTAGACGACGGGGGATCGATGTCGAGGATCCAATGATCGCCGGCTTGCTGGCGGGAATAGAGGGTTCGTGATTTGTGATTTTTTTTTTTTTGTTTCTTTCTTTTTTTCTCTTTCCCTTCTCGAGGAGTCACCGAAGGTGAGTGTCAAGACGTGCCGCAAATGATCAGTGTAAATGTGACAACAAAACGTGAAGCCAACCAAATAACCTAAATAGAATAGATCCCAAACCCAAGCTCAATAATGTACGTATTCACCACGCATTCTTGCAAGAATCCTACCATGTCTCGCTAGAAAAGGCTCTATTTCCCTCTACCACTCTCCGAGAGTTGAAGAACTGTTCCTCCTCGATGCGACTCTCAGGAGGGCATCCACATAACTGCAGTTGAAGTCGGTGTCTAGATGCTGCATCCATGACTCTCCAAGTTCTCGGCTTCATTGCTGCAGGTAGCAGCTCGGATCATGATGTGCTCGCACTGTCCTGTCTGTGTCGTTGTTCTAGATTCAAGTTGGTGTGGCTTGCGGCCGCGGCACAGACTTGACGGATACAACTGACTCTTAAACTCTGAGTCACAGACTGAGCCACAACTTCTTATCGGTGGCTGTTGACGGGCCGGCAGGCTGCCAGTGGCGGATCGAGGTGGCAGGCTGCATCGCAAGGTCCAGAGTCCGGTCCGAACTGAAACCAGCAGCTTCAATGGCACACGGCTGGCTGGGACGAGGGACTGGAGAGGGGCAGCTTGGCATCTGCAGGGATAGGTGTTGATTCGCCCCGCGGCCGTCAGAATCCGCCAGAGCCAGCCAGACAGCCTATCGCGCACAATCTGCGGAAAAATTACTGGGAGTGGAAATCCACCCAAAGAAAGAACACCAAAGACCGATCCGACGACCACGGCCGCATCTACAAAGACACTAATCCACCCACCTACCTCCCAAGTCGTGCAACCCCCCCGCGATATTTCTCGACGACGAATCCACCCAGTCTCTTCTAACGACCATTACACTTCCACACCGCCGTCCTACGCCTCGTCATATCTAATAACCCACAATCAAGATGAGGCCCATTCTTCTTTCGGGCCACGAACGTGCCCTCACCCAGATCAAGTTCGTCTTCCCTCCGCATCATCATCGCATACCATACCCGCCGACCCGACCTCTCTTGGTGTTCTGGCTTTGGCATGTCGGGCATATAGAGATGCAGCCTCTAACAGCAACCCTTTACCCCCAACAGGTACAACCGCGACGGTGATTTGCTCTTCTCAGTTTCCAAGGACCAGCAGATTTGCGTCTGGTTCGCGCACAACGGCGAGCGTCTCGGTACATACCACGGCCACCAAGGTGCCATCTGGACCATTGATGTCGACCCCACATCCACCATCCTCGCCTCCGGCTCTGCCGACAACACCATCCGCCTTTGGGAGATCAAGACCGGCAGACTTCTTAAGACATGGGACTTCCCTACCGCCGTCAAGCGCGTTGAGTTCAGTGAGGATGGCAGCAAGCTTCTGGGTGTGACGGAGAAGCGCATGGGTCATCTGGGTACCATCGTTGTCCTCGACATCAAGCTCGACGTTGACGCCGAGCAGAGCGATGAGAAGGCCATGACTATCGTTTGCGAGGACAGCAAGGCCACTGTCGCTGGCTGGAGTTACCTCAACAAGTACATCATTGCCGGCCACGAAGACGGCTCCGTCTCCCAGTTCGACGGCAAGAACGGCGACCTCCTCTACAACATCCCCATCCACGAGCTCAACCAGCCCATCACCGATCTCCAGTGGTCGCACGACCGTACATACTTCATTACCGCCTCCAAGGACAAGACCTCCAAGGTATGTCACATGGCTCCACAACAACAAATCCCCCCCCTTTTTTTTTTGTTCCCTTCCCGGAATGGATCCTTAAAACCGGAATCGATGAACAGTTAATGGCATGCTAACACTCCCTCATCACTTTCACAGCTCATCACAGCTAAGGACCTGGAGGTCCTCAAGACCTACCCCGCCGACACCCCTCTTAACAGCGCTACCATCACTCGCAAGAAGGACTTCGTCATTCTCGGTGGTGGTCAGGCTGCCATGGATGTCACCACCACCTCCGCGCGTCAGGGTAAATTCGAGGCACGTTTTTACCACAAGATCTTCGAGAGCGAAATTGGTCGTGTGCGCGGTCACTTCGGTCCCCTCAACACGGTCGCCGCCGACCCGACCGGCAAGAGCTACGCCAGCGGTGGTGAGGACGGTTACGTCCGTATCCATCACTTCGACAAGGGTTACTTTGACTTTATGTACGAGGTCGAGAGGGAGAGGCAAAACAAGCTCAACCAGCAACAACAGCAGACCATTTCTGCCTAAACGGATCCCTTCTATCGACATCGATCGAAACTTTCGGACTTTCAGCAAGCAGGATTCGAGGAGGGGCGGCAGAAAGGGCCGGAAAGGCGATTCGCGGGACGAAATATGGGTGTCATGTTATTGAGTTCAGGATTCTCTCGACTTGTCGGAGGAAGGAAATGAGCAAACGGGTTCTTTTACATCGCGCGTCCAGGGATCCAACAATTTGGGGGAAATGGGCATTTCACAAACGGCGTTTTTTTCAGGCAACCTAATCTGAGAATTTGGGCGGTTCCACCCAATATTTGGTGAAAAAAAAGTGAAAAGGAGCAAGATTGGAGCGATGAGGTGGTGCGGTTCGATGTGAAGCAAACGATCGAACAAGTGAGTCGCGCGGATAGCGGATATATAATTTCCATCTTGTCGCGAAAGGAACCCTTGGTCCCTTTTAAACCCAAAAACTTTGCCCCTCATCGAAGCACAGAAGAGTCATTTGTCATATTTGAACTCGGTCGTTCTTCTGCTTACTATCTTGCACAACCTCGTTCATGTGATATCAGATTGGACGTTATAAGTAGAGGTCTAGTTTCGCTCGCCAGATGTTTACTCACTCTCTTATAGTCAATAAGGACCCAGCACAAGTGGAAACAACAATACAGGGGTAAAGGAAGTACAAGACTGCACACATCATGCCCTATTCATCCATCAAGAGAACGGATTTTGACCAAAAGGATATTTTTTGTTCCTCAGGTAGGCAGAGAAATCCCTCGCTAAATGACGGCAGGTGAGATAACCATCACCGAGACCGCAACATGAATACGACACAACGGAAACGCCGCGAGCCAACTGCATTAACCCTCTCTGGACTGGCCTTCTCAGTGGTGAACCGAGCCCCTTCACCCAGTCTAACCCAGTCATATGAAACGCAACTACAGCTTCGAATACCAAGCCAAGTCAATACATGTGCCGTAGCTTGTATTTCTGGTCTGGACCACCATCAAGCGGTCTACTTCTTCTTTCCCTTGGGGGCAGCCTTGCCCTTTGTCGCCTTCGATTCCGTCGACGCCACGCTTGACGCGCGCGAAGGGGCAGCCGAGGTGGCTTTGCTACCGGACGCTGACTTAACGTTGTCTAGCGCTTTGTTCTGTTACGCGGGTAAATTAGAGTTAGTACGAACATCTCCAAAGTGAGAAAAACTGGGGATGGTTTACCTTGACACCATTGGCCTTGGTCTTCTTCTTGGCAGGAGCCAGGCCCAAAACACTGTCTTCGTCATTGTCTTCATCATTCGCTTCACGCTTGAGCTTGCCATTGACCCCGTTCGCCTTGGCCTTGGTGGTGTTGCTAGGCTCGTCCTCAAACTCTTTGACGATCGTCGTCAGCAGAGTGTTGCAGCGACGGCTGATCTCAATGGGAGTACGGCTAAGGAAGAACCAATCGAAGCGAAAAAGTGGGCTCTCGCGGATCTCATCCCGGATCTTCTCGTAGATGCCCTCGGAATCGACGCCATACTTGTCCAGCATCACCAGAAGGAATCTGTCCTCCTCCTCCGTATAGACCTTCTTGTTGGTCGTCGAGACAGTGTAGTTGATCTTCAGTTGCTGCAATGGCACACGGTACTGGCTCATCTTCTTGCGCAACATCTTGCGCTGGTGTTCAATCTTGCGCATACGTTCCTCACCATCCTCAATGACCTTGAGGTATTTGTTATAGTCCGCGATCTCGGTATACCGTTGCCAAAATACCTTGGCATAGGCCTTGATCTCTGCAGGAGTCTTGCTGTCAACTTCCTGCGCAATTCCTTCATAGTCGTTGCGGCCATAGCGACCAGAGCCGTTAATGAACTGCTGGAAGTCTCGCCTGTTCCAGTCACCAAAGCCTTGTTCTGCGAGCTTTTGCTTCTCGGCTTGCTCCTCTTCTGTCAAGGGTGTGGCGTTATCAATTTCTTGTTGATCCAGAGCTCTCTCGGCCTCGCGTTCTTCCACGGTCTCGTCATCGCCGTCAGGGAGGGGAACTTTGTAGCCGATCTCCTTGCGGTAGTATGCCGTCTCCCTGTCTTGCAATTCGCGGAGTCGAACAGGATAGAACTGATAGTCGTGCACAGGTACTTGCTTGGGAGCACGCGGGGCCTTGGGCTTTGTGTCGGCCGTCCTTCCGCCGGTCTGCAGGGCCTGCTTATAGTACTTATCAATAGAGTAGATCTGCTCCTTGCGTTCACGCTTCGCCGGGTTGATCCAGTTGATGCCAATGTCCTTCTTGCGAGCCGCGAAATCCTCTCCGTTCCACTCGTACGCTGATTCTGAGGTGAACTTTTGCAAGTCGTCGAGACCGAGCTTTTCGTACTTGGCATTCAACTCCTTGGTTCGGTTCTCACCCGCCGCGAGAATAGCATCGATATCGTCATCACCCAACTCGGCGCCATTCTCGGGTAAGGCCCCGAAACCGCCCTTACTCTGGAAGACCTTCTCGGCACCATGCTGGATCATAGACAGCAGCTCATCTTTGTTAGCAGCAGCCTTTGCGGCAATCTGAGCACGACCCTGCTGGATGACCAGCTGATCGAGGCGCAGTTTTTGGGCTGCACGTTCCAAAACCTTTTCTTCGATGGCGTTATCCGTGACGAAACGATAAACCACCACTTGCTTTGTCTGTCCAATACGATGAGCGCGGTCCATGGCCTGCAAATCGGCCTGCGGGTTCCAGTCGCTGTCGTAGAGGATAACAATGTCGGCAGAGGTAAGGTTAATGCCGAGACCACCGGCTCTTGTCGTCAACAAGAAGACAAACTTGTCCGAGTCGGGTTTGTTGTACTCATCAATAGCCGCAATGCGATCTTCGTGGGCAGTGCCGCCATCAATACGGCAGTACTTGTATTGGCGGAAAACACAGTAATCCTCGAGAATGTCCAACAGTCGGCTCATCTGCGAGAATATGAGGACGCGACTGCCCTGCTTCTGCAGTCGTTTAAGCAGCTTATCAAGTACAAGCATCTTTCCCGCATTATAAACGAGATGCTCATCTGTGGTATAGGGAGGACCGGGCTCGGCTCCCTCAAAGAGGTAAGGATGATTACAGCACTTACGAAGCTGCATAACAATGTTCAAGAGCCGTGTCTTGGACTCGCGCTTTCCACCAGCTCCATTAACGGCATCGATATCCTTTTCAAGAATCTTCTGGTACCATTTTACCTGCATTTCCGACATGCCAATGTAGACATTGACCTCCTTCTTGGGCAAAAGGCTCTTCTCAACATCGCTCTTGACACGGCGCAGCAAGAAAGGTCGTAGCACACGGTGCAACTGCTGTACAACTGTGTCTTGATCCCTATCTTGGCCAGAGAACCATTGGTCAAACGCCTCGGAATCTCCGAAAACATCTGGTAGCAGAAAGTTGAGCAGAGCCCAGAGCTCGTGTAGGTTGTTCTGCAGGGGAGTGCCTGTAATCAAGAGACGATTTCTCGAGTTGAACACTCTGATCACCTGGGCCAACGAAGACTCTTCGTTCTTGATACGATGGGCCTCGTCAATGATGATGTACTCCCAGGCAAACTTCTTCAAGTGAGCCTTTTCTCTGAGAATCATCTCGTAACTGGTGATGCAAACGTCGAAGTTTTCGTCCACAAGGCGGTCTTGGATGAGCTGCTGACGTTCCTCCTTGGCCCCCTGCAGCACCAGCACGTTCACCTCTGGTGTCCATTTGGCAAACTCGCGCTTCCAGTTGTCCAGAGTCGATTTGGGAACAATGACCAAATGGGGACCGGGAGTATCCATGATATGCCGCAGATAACCCAAGAAGGAGATGGTTTGTAGTGTCTTTCCGAGACCCATTTCATCGGCCAGGATGCCCGAGATGCCGTTTTCGTGGAGGGAGATTAGCCAGTTGAGGCCAGCAATCTGGTAGTCCCTCATGGTGCCCTGAATAAAGGCAGGCGATTCGCGGAACACAGTTTCGGCGGAGCCTCCTACCTTCTCGTCCTTGAGCAACTCGGCGTCCTCCTCAGCTTCGGTCCGACGACGCCTCTCACTAGTAGCACCGCCTTGGCGACCAGCGCCCTTCTTTGACTTTGCATCCTCGGCATTTTGGCGATCAATTTCGGCCATGATTTCGCGGACCTTGGGGTTTGGGTTTGTCTCGATGAAGTGACGGAAAAGGTCGGTCAGACCAAGGAGGTAGCGGAATCTTCGGAGCGAATCATCTTCCTGGAGCCGAGTTAGGATCGCGAATAAGAGCCCGCCGGGCAGTTGCGATGGGGGACCAAGATTCGAGACGTGAGAACAGTCTGAAATGTACGGTAGTGGTAGTAGCTCACCTTGGACTCTCCCAGCCGATCATGTTTTTTGCCGAAGATACTCCGTCGTAGTTGGTTGGCCTCAGATCGCTTCCTACGCCCATCTACTGGCTCGCCTGCGACGCTGCTCTCGGTAGTATTTGGGTTGGTATCAGAGTCGGTGTAGTCGGGCGTCTCGTCGACCTCCTGTACGGCCGCGGTCGAACGTCAGTTTCACTGCCGCGAAAAGCAAAATGTGGTGGCGCAAAGGCGCATTCATTGAAAGTGTGGGCCTCATACCATCTCTGATGCGGGAGCATTGGAAGTCTCTGGGGCGTCAGGCATTGACGCGTCGTCGTCGTTGACGGGCTGTCGTGAGCGTGGGGCCATGATGGTGGGGTTTTGTTTGGTTGCTGTCGTGTTGTTCGTTTTCTTCGGTTGATAAAGGTGAACCGGAGTCCAGACTGGAAGGCCCCTGGCTTAGACGGCCCAAAAACCACTTAAACGCGACTGGCACGCGCTTCAGTGAATGATGTCGGTTGCAGCGCAGGCCGGAAGAATGTCCTCGTTTCTGAACTGAGTTTGGTGTTGGCCAGCGACCTCGGGGTTGACTGGCAGGTTGACGAGAAAGAAGCGCGGTCTGGAGATGCTGTTTGTTGAAGGGTCGAGATGGCTGCGGGTGGGAATTTCTCGAGAGTCGAGGATCCCAAATGGGCGAAACCGCGTCTCATTCAGCCAATCACAGGACCCGGTGCAGACAACGGAGGGGATCAAGTCGAGTGCCGGGCAGCTGAGACCCAAGCCTTTGGCGTCTGCCAGCCAGTACCCTGCCGGTCGGTTGGACGACACGGGTCCCTGTCTTGATGGCACGCTAGTAGATGGACGCTATCGGGGGCACTCTGACGTACGGTGAGGTTCAGAAAGAAACCTCAACCTAGGTAGGTATGCTGCGCAAGTTGCAAGTGTCGGCGCAACCTTTCGGTTTCGTTGTTCCTACCACAAGGTACCTATGTTACTCCTGTTTATAGAGGTACACAAAGGGGACGGGTTCGTCCAAGTCGAAGCTACCTACCTAGGTACCTATCGCCCGCAGTTGTGCAGAGGCCGAAACTTGAGACTTAAGGTTCCATCTGCACTAAAGTCGGTTAGTTCAGGCACAGCATACATACCTAGGTTAAGCAGGGGCAGTGAGTGGCCGTCTTCAAGAGCTACATTGGTTGTTACCTAAGGTACATAGAGGTAATCTTAACTGTCATTCCCCGTCATCTGTTTTTCCAGTTATCATTCATAGGCCACTATATCCTACATAGGTATCTATCGATGGATTTGTAGTTTACTTTCCGTTATTGTGCCAGTGCTGCATGATCCCCCACAGTGAATCTACGACTTTAAACTTTGCTCCGTCACACATACAGAATTGGGGAAACTGACCTCCAATGAGTGCGAGCGACGCCACACCATCCAACTGTCGGTTATATCAATAGGTACACAGATTTACAGATACGTTTATATACCTATCATGGAAATATCTCCACCATTTACGCATGGTGCAGAGGATAAGGTAGGTGCACAGGTCATCATTTAGTTTTTTGCAACAGATACGCTGACTCCACTTGACGCTCACGGTGTTTGGAAGGAACTGGAATGCCGCTTGGCAAAGACATCGATAACTTTAAGAATGACCAAAACTGGAAAGTTCCACCAGCCTCGAGTCCACGTCTGGGAAACCAAAGTTCAAGTCCGACCGCCAAAGTGCACGGTCCGTTGCGCCTTGAAATCTACTTACCTGTTTCCATCGATTGCCCGTTCTTTGTATCCTCTGTAGGCCAGAACGGTTTGTTAGCACCTTGTATTCGCACAGCAAGGTAATAACTTGGGCTTGGGCATCATGTAATGACTGTACCGTGGACACGTGCTTGTTCAAACCATCAGCGACTCCATCCAATCCAAAGGGTCCAGACAACTCCCTCACTTCGCTTCGTATCCACTAGCAACGGAAGTGACCCACATGCGATACTCCAGCAAAAACCCCTCCTGGCCCTACCCACCTCAGCCCCGAAAGACATCATTGCATTCCTCCTGACAAACCATCACCGACTCATCAGCGAGCTTTGTCTTTTCTTTGTTTCTCTGGACCACACAATCGGCTACAACCACCCTAACCACCCTTTCGGAAACGAGCAAGGTCCTACAACAAGCAAACAGCGCTGCGTTTGTTTCACAATACAGCTTTTTCACCAGTCCGCCGCAATGAGCGCCGACTCCAACGATCTCCTCGAAGCCTTCAAGGCAGCCGCTTTGTCGGTGACTAAGCTCTACAAGACCACCGGTCCCGCCGTTGCAAAGGCGCGCACCGAGGGCTATCAAGACTGTCTCGACGATCTTCTGGCGTTTCTCGACAGGAGGAGGTTGGGCTTGAGTGACGGCGAAGGATGGATAATTCGGAGCTGGGCGACGGAGCGCCTGGACGGTCGGGATCTCCCCACGGTAGAGAGCGACGATGACGACAAGATCGAGCCCGCACTATCGCCCCAGGCGCAATCTTTGGATCCCATTCAAGAGGAGGATTCAATGAGAGATTCGCCACCTGCCCCTGCTGTCTTCGAAAACCCTCAAGAAGAACAACAACAACAACAACAACAACAACAGGAATACGAACAGCCACAGCAGGAGCACCAGCAACAGCAGCGACAGCCGCCTTCCAACCCGGACGACTTCCAGATTGTGGTCCCAACGCAGGAAACATTCACCTTTCAATCAGCACACCCCTTTCCTCATGAGGAGGCGATGAAGTTGGAGAATCTGGCGCTTTCCGATGCTCCTAGGAATCGCTCCGTTTCGACCTCGACAAGTTCGCGGAACAACAGAAACCGCGCACTTAGACAGTCTGCTACACGAACACTTGGCCGTGGCGCAGGACAAAAGCGAAAGGTGGTCGACCTTGCAGAATTCTTTCGAATCGACAACTTTGGGCCTGGCAATGACAAGGATCCCTTCAACCAGAGCTCGAAAAGGAGCCGCCACACCTAAACACAGACATGACGGAACGCCTTCTTCGCTAGATAGACGACAGATGCCTCACGGCAAAGGTACAGCATGGGCATGGGGTACAACCTGGGCTTCATCGCGGCGGGGAACATTCAAACCATCACATTTGCATTTCTCTGCGGTCAAGGGCTAGCGTAACTGGAGGATTGTGGCATTTACTGGGAGGAATCCAGGTTAGGCTGGGAAGGGCATCATTTTTGTGGAGAGGTAGCGATTTGCACCTAGGGCGTTGGGACACCATTATACCATCAAAGATGTGCCAGTGTACTCTTTCTCTTTAGCTGGGGGTTTCTTTCTCTTGTATTGATGTTTTTGGAGTTAGACTTGCACGGTAATAGGTTAGCATGGTTTTGTGTTTATGGAATTTCTCGGTGCCTTTTACTCTCCATGACATAGGAACTGCCTCGGGGTATGTTTGCAGGTCATGTTCGGACTCGTGTATCATAGTCAGATGGATGAACTTCCTGCATTTATCGCTCCATCTAGCGCTGGAGGCGAGGTGTGTGGGATTGAAGATATGGCGGTTTGTCACAAACGGCGGAGAGCTATAAGCAATGGTGTCTCGAGGGTGCCGACTGAGGCATATAATGATACCCCTTTTCTCCAGTGTACGACACGAGGTTGGGTTAAGGTCCTAGATGCATAGTGTCATCCGAACGTGGTTTGTACGAACGTTTAGTCCCGTCTTGGGTTCCAGGGGCAATATTGAGTAAGCTCAAGGACCATCTGATGTCAAGGTGAAATTAAATATCAGATTTGCCTGTGAGGTGCTTCAGTCAAACAAAAATCGATTGACCACATCTTGCTCCGTTGAGAGCAGGAGACCATCCGCTTTTTCATGCGTAAACTTTTGGGACTTTACGAGATTTTCTGTATCAAGGAAAACAGGGGATTGGGGTTTCTTTTGTTGAATCTTCATTTTTGTATGCATGATGTTCAAGTCCAGATAGTGCTTACTTGCCTGTGACTACATTCCGTCTGATCCATGCCCTTCCACTAATCATCGCCGTTCTCGCCTGTTTGCTCCTCCAGGTCACTGGAACGACCACTCACTCTCATGAAACTGTTGCTCCTCCTACGGACGTCACGCATATCACATACTTACGCTACTCTATTTTACAGCAAATTGGTGTGATGTGTTTCGTGAGGCAGCACACCTCCTCAGACACAAACCCTGCGTCCTTCACGATCTTCCCCTAAATGCCTCCCCTCTTTCGCACTCAAGCGCTCAACACTTATCCACATCCTACACATCTGACGTCGCTCCGAATGAACCCAATCTCCATTTTCGTAGAAAGAACGACAGAGCGAGGCTCTCCAAATCCTCGTATCTGCGCACTTGCAGCAACATCCCACAGAGGAAGAACCTCTTGATCCTCTTCCTCATCTCAGAACGATCTCTTCCCTGAACCACCGCCACCTCCAAGCACAAACAAGGACAATCCTCTCATCCAAAACAAGACACCGCATCGTCCTGGCTCTGGTGACATTAGGCGTAGCTTCCATTGTCGCTGACATCTTTGTTGCCCCTGGTAGCCGGCGACTCGAATGGGGAGAGCGCAAAGAGGGTAACGGAGACGAGGAAGTGGTTGCACGTGTTCGGCACGGTGGTCAGCTCGCCTTTGTTGGTCGAGTTGGTGGCGGTGGTTTAGGCTTTTGGAGCTGGGTGAGTTTGTAATTTCGTTTCTTTTCCCGCTTGCTTCCTAGAAAGAAAATTGCTTATTTGTTGGCTGACAGGCTATGCCGTATAATCGCGGCTTGGAAAGCTTCTTTGGAGAGTAGTTTCACTGGCTGGATGCCATGGCTATCGTTGCTAGCTTTGCTGTAGATGTTGCTATCAAGGAGATCGCGGAGCTCATCATTGTCCTGCGTCTTTGGAGGTTTATTGAGATTATCGAAGAGCTTAGTGTGGGGGTGTATAGGCCGCGGAGCAGATGAGGAAGAGAGTTGAGGATCGGAGGCGTGGATCTCGAACTGAGGAGAGGAACAGCAGATCAACTTGATACATGTAAGAGGTTTGACGACGGTGAGCTCAGCTAGTGCAGCAATGGTTTTAAGAGGGTAGGGAGCATAAACGTCATCGAGGATGCAACGATGAATTGAGTGAAGCTTTGTACGATTAAAGGCTATGATTGAGTGACTGACTGATAATTTAGGCCATGGGAATGGCTCGGTCTTTGGCCAGTGTAACTCCAAGCAGCAGCGGCCAACAGAGGAAGTGGGTGTGACGCCGTACTCAGCAAGTTACACATGATGTTCCTTCAAGCATATTACACATCGTATTTGCCGTCTGAACGTCGTTCAACTGCCGTGAAAGCCCGTGTTGGTGGGAGAAAGGTGCGACATCCCTACCTACTGTACAATGTGAGGTTGCGGTAAGCAAAGCGGAGAAGCGCCCGAGGCACCGTGTGGATGGATGAGCTGCTTGGATCGCTGCGAACCGAACCGCGGTGCAGTGCAGATCGCTGATCGCTGGTTTTACGTGAGGCTCTTCCTGACTGTCGAAGTCATCCAAACGTTGGTTCTTATATCTTCCGCCTATGGTAGTTGAGATCTTGTCCCAGCTGCTCCGTTACTTTTGCTCATGCGGACCGTTTTGGGCGTGGGTGACACGGTGAACTTGATTAATTCACTTTGTGTGACGTGAAGCGACTGAGTCTTCTGACCCTCTTGCAACCGCCGGGAGATGGACATGTCGGCAGCGTACTTGAACCTCTCGAAATGTCGACAGGAGGAGCTTAGATGCATGAAAGCATACGTCCGTGGGGGATGAAAAAAGGTGCAGCTAGCTGTCAGGGGGGCCCGTCCGCCGTCGTCGGTCGTCAGTTTGCGCCATTGAAGAAGCCCAGCGGTTTCCTGTGTTCATCTGATTTTTGTGCTTGGTCTCCCCCACTTCAAAATCCACAGACACAGACCCCGGGCGGCTCCTGTATTCTCAGTTCGCTGCGGGAGCGGTGCATTGCGAACGGCCGATTGGGCTGCCATTGGCGAATCAGCACGCACCCTCCGTTCATTTGTCCAGACAGAGTTACAGTAGTTTCCTCAACTCCAGGCGGGTACATGGAAATTACACTGCATAGTGCAACAAACTTTCAAAGGCTTTAGACTCTCTTCTCATTCTGGCGGAACCGCATGGCGGGGAGACTGAGGACTGTGGAGAGATCTGGGGTCCTCATGGATCCCAACATGCGGGAGCGCAGGGGAAGAGCGAGGATCGCGAATTTAGCGTAGACGCCAAACTCCAGCTGGCGATCTCTTTTCTCTCACCAACTTCACCACATGTCCCCCAATGTGTGCTGTGAAATGAACACTGGCCCTTGTGACGCTCGGCCTCCATGGCAACGAATAGGCTACAGAGGCGTTTCGGGACATGAAATTGCGGCATCAAGACTGCATCTCGGTCATGCTCAACCTGGACTAGCGTGCCTTGGGTTGACATGCTACATTATATACACTACATAACCAAACAGACCCCGGGGTGGTTGACATACTCTTGAATGACTCTCACAGGTCACCGTCCGTCAGTCAACAATGGCTTTGACAGGGACCAGGCTTTCGAATATAGACGGACTAACTCTCTGCCCCTACTACTATGTATACTACTTACTACATTGGGAGCTCTACATACGAGTGTAGGCACGCTACCCAGCCATATTCCCCAGGTTCTCGGACCTTTCATCAACCACTCTTTTCTCTTCTCTTCTCCCGTCTCCACTTACTTTTTACCCTGGACACAACCCACACCGCGTGTCCACTCCCTTCACACACTCTCTTTTCTCGTCCTCGCTGCCTCTCTTTGCTCTCTCCTGCCCCTTCGATATCATTGGAAGAGAAAACCAAGCAGGAAAGAGCAATATCCAATCGTTTTTCTTTTTGGGTCTAGACTCATCGATCCATATCTGCTGGACTGGCCTTCTTGTATACAAGGTCACCTGATCCCTTTTCCCGCCTAATACATATCTTCCTTCCTTACCTACCTACTTGCCGACTTACTCTCTCTCATTTCCTGTCCGTGTTGTGAAAGTAATTGCTAATCTTCGTCTTCTTTTGTTTGTTGTTGTTCCGTCTTTATCCTCAAGCAACCTAATTCATCAAGACCTACCCAACCGCCAAAATGAAGGCCGCTCTCCTCCCCCTCGCCGCCATGTTCGCCGTTGCCGCGGCCCAAACCACCTCCGTCTGCGCCGCCGCCTACATTGTCGAGACCTGCCTCGGCACCGAGAACAGCAGGCTCGCCTTGTGCGGCCGTGATGACTACGGCTGCAAGTGCGCGCAGTATCCCAACATCATTGCCTGCTACAACAACTGCCCCAACGATCCCCGCAAGGGTAAGACTGCTGCTCCCCTTCCTTTTTCCTTACTCCCTTTGATTACTTTCTCTTTTTGTAATTTTCTTTTCAATTATACTAACACGTCGTTCTCCCCGTAATCAGCATCCGCCATGGGCGACCGTGATACCTGGTGCGCTCTTGACAAGCAATACCCGTCCTCCACCACCAAGGTCGCTGTCGCCACCACCAGCCTGAACACCGCTCCCGCTGCCGCTGCCACTACCGCCGCCACTACCGCCGTCTCTTCCAGCGGCAGCGATAACGAGAATACTGGCGACGCCAACACTACCGCCACGGGCGCCGCGTCGAGCAACACCGCCTCCGCCCCTTCGACCTCCGCGACCGGCAACGCCGCTGGTGAGGTTCTTGTGAGCACCGGCGGCTTGCTGGCTGCTTTTGCTGGTGTCGTTGCTGCTGTCCTCTAAGTTACCGGTCCAGAGCGGTAACTGATTGACTGTGTAACCAGTTGACGTTTTATTTAATATGGGGAGTTGAGAGGGGTTAATGATCAAAGTCTTGCGCTTTGAATTGCGAAGAAAGAGGAAAGGTTTTTCGAGGGGCGTCAAAAAATGAAAAGGCTGATGTCAAGTGTCGTTGTGTTTTGGAGTAAATCTGTGTCTGAATACTGCAAGGGGTGTGGATAGCTGGATTGGGGACACCATGTGAGTGTAATCGAAGAGCAAGTTGTGCTGCACACGACCTCGCCCTAAGAATGGGGGACCAGTCTCGCAGACACTGCAACACTTCATGTCAACTGCAGCTGGGAATGTGAAGGAGAGACGGGGGGGTGTTGGGGGGTTGTGCTTGGCGGACTTTGGGGTAATATGTAATGAGGTACTATGATATGTAATGTTTGAATGAACATGATATGTTCTCACGTTTTACCAATGTTTGTTTCTGAACCTGTCAAACACATCAGTATGTATGGATGACTATCATCACGCTGGATTTGAACATGACCAGTGTCCCTCACTGTTCAACACGTTCATTACCATTCTATAGTTCTTGTCCCGTTGTCCCCACTTGTCAAGACGTTCATTACCATTCTGATTTTGACTTCCGTTTGCCAACCTCCTCATATCGTACACTTACTTCATTCTTCAGCTGTTCTGGGTTCAAGCCTCAGCATCCCCTCCCAACGCTTCAAATCCCGCCTCGCGCGTTTCTAGCGGCAAAACGTCTCCTCCCTCCTGGCTTCCTTTTCCGGTATCCATCTTGACTTCGGGTGCGGTGCTGACCAGCATACGCTTCAACGCGGCACGCCCGGGATCCTCTTTGCTTCCGGGCTCCGGCATGCTTGCAGGCTCGGTCCAACTTTCGTCAATTTCGTCTTCCTTGACCTCCCTGATATTCTTGCCGTGTGGGCCGGCCGGGTCGGGCAGGTTACGGCCATGGTGGAAAATGTAGGTCGGCGCCGGCGCACCCTGCTCGGGATTCTCATGCTTCGGTTGCTGAGCTTCGGGGTGGCTCTGATGGGCGGTGCCGGGGGCCTTTGCCCGTGGGTTCTGCGAAGCCGAGCCGCCTGCGGAGGCGGACGGGTTACCTTGGGCGAAGGCACCGCCGGAGCGAATCGATTCGGCCGCGAGGGAATCCGGAGGGACGGAGCCGGGGCCTTCGTGCTTGGGAGGGACGTTTTCGGTGGTGACCTGGATAAGACTCTGCATTAGTTGGGTTGTACGGACGGAGGATGGTTTAGGCACAACAGGTGTGTCGAAGATGAACGTGAACATGGAATAAGGAGTTGAAACCTACCTTCTGACCCTTCGGCATGGTGGACAGGTGTGACAGGTTTATTGTGAATCGATAGGTACGAGGAGTAAGCGTATCTAGCTGTGTTGGTCGAGTGTCGTTGCTTCTTGGCTGTACGCAGGAGCTTTCTGAGTCCGGCTTGTAATTCTCAGGTGGAGGTAACTGAGAGAGGTGCTTTAGCTGTTCTGTGAGAAGAGGTAGATCTGTTTTGGAACGTAATGGACGTGCAAAACAGCAGCATGATGTCACAGCGGATGATGTCATGATGTTGCTTGCTTCGCAGTTTGATGGTTGAGTCTGTGCTGCTGCATCTTGCACGCTCATTGTACCTAGGTACTACCATCCAGAAGTTTGCGGATAGACTTGCTGATACGTGATATGCGCCATAGTCGGTGAGGTGGTGTGTACCTTGACTACATGGGAGATCGGGCTTCTCGGAAAATTGGTTCCATTAAGTTGGCGATCTGCACCTGGGTGTTCTCTCAGGAACTTCAACTCCAATCAAGATCCCAATGCCTGGTCCTCTTACGCAGACACCCGCCTCAAGAGAGACACTGGGATCGCGGAGGGTTCCATGTTGTTCCACATTATGCAGAAGCAGTTCCCGTTTTCGGGCCGCCCGTCAACGGCTGATACAACGACCACGCTGCAAACCACTCCAATACACACCAGCAAGTACATAGATAGTATCAAGATTCTGCATATCCATGACTATGCAGATTATCCGCTTAACCATGGTGCTGCAGTCTGGTCCGGATCACTTCCCCCTTCCCTAGACTTGCCGTGGAGTATCCGTTTGTCAGAACACGTTTGGAGACCCCATGAGTGATGTATACAAGCCAGATACATCGCGGAGACTAGCAAGTCGTTCAATGACACTACACTACAAACGCCCAAGTCAGAAGCCAATATCTTGATGATCTTGTTGCGCAAATGTTTAAAGAGATGGCCCGGCTTTTGAAAATCTACTAACCTTTCCAGGCCAGTGTTCCTAGAGACCCCTCCTACCTCCGGTACTCATCAATGTGATCTTCTGTTTCTTCTTCTTTCCACCTTTGGCGCCACCGCCGGCCTTAGCACCGCCCACCGCGGAAGCGGCAGCGGCAGCACTGCTGCTACCAGCACCATTCTCAAGGCCCATTGCCTCCATCTGGAAAGCGATATCCTGCGTGCTCAGACTGTCTATAACATCATCATCCTTCAACCAGCCATCATCAACCGGGTTCCTAGGCACCATGTATTCCGGCTCATCCCCATGTATAGCCGGCGTACCCCAGACCGTCCTTTGTGCACTCGGGCTGGTACTCATCTCTGATAGGGTACCAAATCCAGTCCTTGGATTTGGTGGTGTCGTACTTGGCGCTTCCGCACCAAGAGGGATGAAGTCGTCCATGTTCACCGAGGGCCGATCCGCATCGGCATGACCATACCGAATGATCCCTTCCTCTGCTAACGGGCCCGCCTGACGCCTGGCACCACGGATAGCAGCGGCTTCCAGGCGCTCTGCCTGCAGACGCTCACGCTCCTCCTGAGCAATTTTGTCCTTATTCCGCTTACGCCGGCGCTCGATCTCCTCCTTGAAGGTTTCAAGAACCTCAGGGGTAACGATGTCAGTCCAGTCGCATTCGAGGAAGCTGATGAGACATCCTCGGGGTAGATGACCCAAGTATTTGGCGCGTTTCCGCATGACATCGTCGACGGCGTTGCCTGTAGAGATATGCTCAACCCTTGGAAGAAGTGTGGTTGGGAATTCAGAGAAAGAGCCAAATTGGGTCTTTAAGATCCTAATGTCCAAGGGTGAGAGGTAAAGATGCGGAGGTGCAGAGTAGAAAAAGAAATCAAGGTCCTCATCACGCTTCCTAGACTGGGATCCGGCAGCGGCCGATGTTGCAAGTGCCGTTGTCTGGCTAGAATCAAGCTCCTTCAACTTCTCCTTTGCCGTATGAACTGCCCTGATGGCTTTCTGGGTCCATTCGTTATCTTCGTGGAACATCAGTTCATCTTCTTTCTCCTGCTTGGTTAAGTCGTCCACTTCTTGGTCATACTGCTCTTCCATATACCCGGTAGTACCCTTCATGATCCTTGCATAATCCAGAACATTGGCGGCAAAGTGCCAGGGGATGTCATCGCCCGATTGCAGTACCTCTGCAGCGCCTTCTTTGGGTAGTGCGAGAGTGCTCTTTGCATTGCGCGCCATTAGACGCAGCACTACATCCTCGCCTGGCCGGGGGAGGGCGCTCTCTTGACCGGCATAGAACCTGACCGGGCAAACTTCGTTTAGGTAGACTGTATCATCGCAGATGGGGCACTTTCTCCATCGATTCTGCTTCTTTTCCGGGTGTGAGCGGCCGTCATCATTGGGCACCGTATTCATGAACCGGATAAGACACGGCAGACAGAAAATGTGGCCGCATTTCGCCATGCGTGGCGCGACGGGCTCCGAAAGACAGATTGGGCATGAGGTCTGTTGCGACTCTGTTGAAGCAATGATCTGTAGGATATCGGTCCATTCGAGATGTTCGTCTGCGTCTGAGGCTTGCGCCGTGTAATTGCCACCGGGTGACACGACGAATCGGTAATTGGCATGAACATAGCGAGCCTTGTCCATAGAATGGTAGCCGGAACCAACGCCATAGCTAGGGTTTCGGCGATAAGAGCGGGAGGAATAGCTGTGAGTGCTGTCGTAGACTGGGCGAGGCGGAGGGTTTAGATTCAGCAAATGTGTAATGGAGGTCTGTCCGCGACGGCTCGAAGCATTCCGCATAGCTCGCATTTCGGCCAAAATGTCTTCGTCATCATTCACACGGCTCTGCTGCCGCATTGCGCCGGGGCGCCTCATGTCTCTATGTTGCCGTCTGGCGCCCTGATTCCTCCGTGGGGCGGATTGTGAAGCGCTTGATCCCTGGGTTTGACCTGTACCTTGGCGTCGAGCGGAATCAAAGCCCACGGGTGGGGGTGCTTGCGAGGAGGCTTGCGAGGAGGCTTGCGAGAAGTTGGAGGTTTGAGGAGCGGAAAGGGACTTGCCCGGGGCTGATAGGGTCGAGTTCATATTTGGCAGAAGGCGTTGATGGCTTGAGTGAGCGTGCTCCTCTTGCGGTGGATCAGATGCTTCGCTTTCAAGTACCTGGTCTCCAGTAGTTCTCCGGTGGCAAGACAACCCTAACAATGCTTCTCTAAGCTGTCAGCACCTTTTCCCATAAAGCGACCCCGACATGCGGCAGGGTTTACAAATCCCGACAAAAGGAAGATTGAGAAGCTGACAAGGTTGACTGATGCATAATACCTTATTGTCCTAATCACCTCACGGTTGTCATATCTCTTGGCGTTGCAGGGAGACAATGACGTCTGTTATCTCAGACGCGAGGTCTTTGCTCTCTGGGGATGGAAACGACCTCGTGATGCAAAGACCGACGCACGGGATGGAATGACAGAAGATGAGCGGCAAAGACTTGGTATCGCTAGTATACGAAATTAGGTTTGAGAAGGGGTCCAAATTCGGACCCCATGAGGAATTGGAACGAGCAGGAAGTTGGAGGACGGGCAGGAGTCTCTCGTTGCCGTAAGAGATACGCGGGGCAAATGGCAACTGAAGGTGGGAGCGAGGCGCTGCAACTTTCCGGGCGTTGCGGTACCCCAAACAAGTACTGGCCAAAAGTGCCTGCCCTGTCATGTCCAATGTCAGCTGACTCCGATTCTGTAAGTACTGTTCCCTGATTGTGCATATAGTCCAGATGCTGTGGGAGACCGCTAGGATGCTATGCGTTGACTGGCATATATGCAGAAGGGAGAGCTACCGTGTAGTGGGAGACAGGGATTTGTAATCGCGCTTCAATGCAGTAGATGGTAGTATCTGTTTATGCAATTCTTGAGGTATGCATCTGCAGGGGCCGATATCTTAGTGTACACTACTTCCCGTCATGCCTTCCTACACAATCGCGGTGGCCGTTGTAAAACAACTACAACACTGCACGCACTATCTTTTAATGTACTGACAGCCTAAATTGCTAGTGAAACTCAAATGAAAGCATTTTCTTGATTAGATTTAGAGTATTGGTATCTACTACTTCGTAGTATGACGCCTGCATCGCAATACTTTCAGCAAGCCAACACCTCGGACTGTGACATAATGGCCCCTAGTACGTAGGGACTGTGTGTTGACCCAGTTGGACAAAAAATGACGAACAGGGGCGACTACGGATCTTGCATATGGAAATTGGACTCAAGATCAGCACCTGGTCATGTCTGTATAATCATTGGTTGACGGTGATTATAGGGATCTCATCAAGGCACTGCGAAATCCGTGCGGGGTGTAGCAAACATAAGAATTCAAAGTGTATCCTCGATTACAAATGCCCAAATCATGCTTAGCTTCCAACATCCAGTACAATAACATCCATGACAACCTGGAATAAATCGACAACTGAGAGAGCAATATTGAAAATTTTTGGACAAGGTCATCACCGTTGCGTCTGTTCTTCCACTAAGTCCAATCTCCCCTGGTTCCATACCGCGCAATCATATTTCAGAGATGCCGGAAGGACCTAGCTCAGGTACTGTTGACAGGAATAAGTATTAAACATACGACTAAGTTTAAGTGGAGTAGCTAGGACGGTTTCCTGCCATCATCATGTGCCTTCCATCGTTCAGGTGCATCATGAGAGAGCATCAAAAGCAGAAGGGTAACAGATCAAAAGGACAAAAGATTCCGAGATGCGTAAGGGGCCTATCCACCCGGGCATGAGCGCACGATTAATTGCATGTGCGCTTCTATCTGACAATAAGTGCCCAATGACATGAGAGAAATAACAAAGCCAAAGACGCATTGCGTCCTACCAATTCATCAACCTTCCAGCCCATGGGGAATATTTAAAACGACACTATGACAGCAATAAGGAAGAAAGAGGAAGAATCAATCACGCTCAAAGCACTATCATTGTCTCTAAGCGAACTTGTGCTTGAGCTTACTGAAGAAACCACTGACTCGGTTCTTCTTCTTTCTCTCTGGGGTGGTAGAGGTAGAGAGCGTGGTCGTGGTTGTGGTCTCAGGGCCAGTGGTAACAGTAGGCTGCTCAGTCACCTTGCCATTGCCATTGGCAGCCGGCGGGAACCCCTCCGTAGTTGTCGGCATTGTTGGAGTGACCGGTGTCTCAGCGGGCTTGGAAGCAGCGGCTGTTGAACCATTGGCTGCCGTGCCATTGGTTGTTGCCTTTGTGGACGACTCACCAACAGGCTCAGTGGGCTTGACCTCGTGTAGGAGTTCAGCCTCAACAGCCTTCTTGTCGGCCACTACCTCGACGGGCTTGACTTCCTGTAAAAGTTGGGCCTCAACTGCAGTCTTCTCCGCTACAACGTCGGCATTGGCTGCGGCTTCGGGAGCCTTACCGGCCTCTGTGATGGAATCCTTGACGGTTCCTGGAACCGCCGAGGCAAAGGCTAGCGGGATGGACTCCGTGGGCTTCACAGTCTTCAGCAGCTCATTCTCAACGGCCTTCTTCTCTTCAACAGCGGCAGGATAAGCAGCAGCCTCGGGAGACTCATCAGCTTGCTGTAGGGAATCCCTGACTTCTGATGGAACCGACACGGCTACGGCAGGGGGCTCGGCCCGTGTGGGCTTCACCTCTCTCAGCAGCTCGGCCTCAACGGCCTGCTTCTCCAAGACTGCGGCGGCATTGGTAGTAGCTTCAGGTGACTCGCCAGCCTTCTCAATGGAATCCTTGACCTCAATAGGAACGGCCGCAGAAATGCCCTCAACGCGTGATGCCTTCTCTGCCGCGAGGGACCTCTCGACCTCGGCAGAAGTAGGAAGAGCCTGACCGTTTTGGGACGCCGGTTGAAGCGATGTAGGGAGAATATTCTGGACCGCCTGTGGTAAGTGGCCAGTGACGTCTGGCACACTCGGGAGGCTGCTTGCAACAGTCGATGTAGCGTCAGCGGCAGTCTGCTGGACTGAGCTAGCAGTGTTGGCGGCGGTTTCCTGCACCTGGGTACCGGCACTAGCAGCAACATTGGCAGCACTGCCAAGCACATCACTGGTGGTGTCTTTGGCGGTATTCGCGGTGGTACCAAGAGCTTCGCTGGCGCTTTGAACGGCACCAGGGATCTTGTTACCAACATTTACCGCGGCGTTTGCGGTGCTCTCGAGCACACCGGGGAGCTTGTCGGCGGCGACAGTGGCAGCGCCGACAACAGCAGCAGCGGCGGCATTACCGGCGAATGCAACGGCATCAGCAAGGGACAAGTCAGTCTCAGCCTTTTCAGTGCCATGTCCAGCAGTGCCCTCGGAGGTGGAGGGGGCCTTGGAAACCTTGTGCATTAGCTCATCCTCAACGGCGGCCTTGCCCTTTACCTCCTTGGCTATACCACTTGCGCCGGGCTCCACGTGGGCCTTCTCCTGACTTTGCTTAACAGCCTCGGGAACCGTGAAGTCGTCCAAGGGAACCTGGGCAGCCAAGGCAGCAGTGGTTGAGACGGGAGTGACGGTGTTGATGAAGACATCGCTGTTGCTAGTGATGGGAAGACTGGATTCGGGGATCATGTTCTTGGAAATCGGAGGCAATGCGGCGTCGAGGCCGGGAATCCGATCGGCGCTGTTCTCGTATGATTCCTTATCAAGTGTAACATTGGTGTTGATGTCTGCAGCCCTGACGTCATCGGGAATCTTCTCGCCGGGCGCGAGCTTGAAGGGGTTGAGAGCACCCTCAGTTGCAGGAAGAGGGTCGACCTTGAAGTCGGTCTGCGCGCCAGTGGCAACGATAGGGGTAGCAACAGGTGATGTGCTGAAATCGACGCCAGGAATACGGTCGCTCTTTTCGTATGACTCTTTATCTAGAGTAACGTGGGTTTCGACATTTTGGGTCGAGACGCTATCAGGGATCTTCTCGCCGGGCTTGAGGTCGATGGGGTTGAGCGCGCCATCTGTGGCAGGAAGAGGGCTCACGCTGAAGGTCTTGTCGCCGTCGGCCGCAGGGGTCTCAACCCAGCCACCTGGAGGGCCGTGGTTCTTCTTGTTCTCTAGAGGGTTGCTGACAGACTGCGCAGTCGTATCAGGAGTTACAGTGTTGAGTGCGCTCATGATGGTCTCTGCAAAGCTGGGCTCTCCTGTATTGCTGCTCCCTTCTGCCTTGCGGTTCTCATTCGACATGGCTTGTTGCTCGGGTTCTTGTGTTGATGTGTCTGTGGTTCTGATGAGGTTCTGGGGTAGCAAAACGTTGTTTTCGTTTCCTTCGTGGTCTTTTTCTTGTGGTGCGGTGTGATCGGTGGTCCAGCGTCCGTCCACAACAAACTGTTGAATGTGATTGCGTCAGTGCTTGGTCAGAGAGTTGGATGGTTTGTGTCTCGTTTATATGGGAGAATTTGGAAAGTGAAAGGTAAGCGGGAAACAGGACGAGGAGGTAAGGAGGGGTTGCGCTTGGATGACGAAGCAGGAGCGAGACTGCCCGTTCGCTGCCCTGGTCTGCCCCTGCCCGGCTGGAAAATCCCATTCCACCTGTACCCTCGTCTCTCTGGCAACCAACTTGGCAACACGACAGAGCGCATGCGATAATGCCCACCCGAAGAGGCGCCAGAACGCTGCCAAACACCTCCCAGGAGCAAGGCAATGTATGGCAGTGATGAAATAAAGTAAGCTGCAGCTCCACACTAGTGCAGAGACCCTGCTTGTTCGTGTGCAACACGCCGGCTTGGAGAGACCACCGATGTATTTCTGGAGCTTAGTGCTCCATTATTCGGTTGCGTTCCAGCCAGTCACGGCCTCGCTTGCGGCTCTGGCCTGGCTCGCTTATTGGGGACCCTGGTGGCCCTGTACCGTCACGCGATGTTGCGTTGCGTCATAGCCAACCTAAGAAATGGGACCCAGCAACCGCCCGAGGCCGCTGTAGCACGGCCGCGGATCACACTGGAAATGGAGCATCAAACATTTCCACACTTGCAACAGGGAAAGCAGCCCCAAAGCAGGTGAGCAATGTCGTTCTCCAGCGCTTTTCGAATTGCTCATTTCCCAAAATCCGGCTTGACTTCAACCTCTTGGGGGGGGGGGGGGGGGGGGGGGGGGGGGCAATGGGTAAGAAGAATGCGCTTGCACCCTTGGACGCCCCCCTTTTTCGACTCGTCTGCTGGTTGCTGTGTCCTCCTCTTTCTTTTGTAAGCGCGCAACTGCGATGCAAAATGGTGTCGGCTCGGTGCCAGCCTCGAGGAACTAAAGGCATCAAAGCTGCAACATCATAGGCTGGCCTTACCAGCAACTGGTGTAAGTCGTTCCCCATCCACCCCACACAAAGCCTGGAGGGCAGCGGGGCCAGCATACAGCGCCGCGCAGCGAGCGCAAATAGAATTGACGAATGGGGTATTATGGGCAATTGGGGGAGAAGACCAGACTGAATCATCACCGACCTTGTAGTAGACCTTCTCTTCGAAATCGGGAAGCATGACTGTCTTTTCAAAATGGTCGCCAACCTTATCGAGCTGTTCACTCTTGGACCAGCCGTCAAAGGTGCCAGTCACGTAGACCTCCTCAGCGGCGTGCGGCCTGTTCATTTCGTCAGCACACAATTCGCAGAAAGAGATGACATGGTGCTACACAACCACCATCGTGATACCACAACGATGGATGCGTTCATGGTGCTTCACACCCGCCCGACACTTGCAGGCTGGTGCGCGAGTTGGGTTGGAATGGCAGCGGTGGTGCATTCAGATGAGAGGCCGCTTGCTGGCTCCTGTCTCGCGATCCAATGCCTCCATGCACAATGGGAGATCATCGCGCATTGGATGGCGGCCTTGGACGGACGACCGCATGTTGCCGCTTCTTGCAATGTGCCGGAATGAAACGATGCGGGAGGGATTGGATGGAACTGCGCGACTAACCATCTGAAGGTAAAAGTGCCCATTGTCAGCTTGTTGAATTTTGCACTGGCTCAGGCTTTCGAGGCTGGATGTCGCTTCTTGGATCGAATTGCTTTTCGAGCTCGAATCCGGCTAATGATGTGCTCGTGAGAGATACGGTTTGTTTGGCGAGTACGTGGATAACAAAGAGGTCGGTGGTCGCGTGAAACGGAAGGGTCGGGTGGTTGTTTGGAGATTATAGATGCAGAGGATTGGCGCAACACTGCTTTGCTCTTCCTGACTGTCGCTGACGTCAGGTTAGTTGGTAGTAGCGTATCTTGGTAGTTGGAGATTCGGGGAGGTAGATGGTTGCAGTTTGGAGATGCAACAAGATAGGTAGGAAATTAACCAGTACAAAAATTGGACGCGACGAGGGGAAGAGTCCAGAAGAAGTCACAGAGGGAATGAAGATTCCAAAGAGGAAGAAGAAAAACAAAGAGAGAGAAAAAGAAAGACAAGAAAAAAGCACAAGAAGAACAATGGCGAAAAAAAAAAAAAAAAAAAAAAGCCCCTTGCAGTGATCCCCTAGTACAACCTGGGCCACCTAGTTACCTCTAGCTCCTCAGCTTTTTTGGATCGATCGGAAAGGAGGAGCCCGCAATTCACATTGAACCTGGCTGCTGCAAAGAGAGACTCAAGAGGGACCAAAGAGGAGACCCAAAAACCTTGGGTCAGAGAGCCCATCCACTGGGACCAGAGACCGGGCAGTGGGCTTGCAAGGGGGGGCCGCCAGGGCAGCAGGGATGCGAGGCTCCATATCCGACGGGTCCTCCACAGGCTGTTAAGAATCGCTTCGTTTGTCTGAAGCGAGCACGCCCCATTTTCCCGTCCTCCATGCTGCCGTGCAAGCTGTGTGCACCATCATCGACCACTTCCCTTATCAACAAACCGTGTCCGTCACCGCCATCTGCTCCGTTATCAATAGGGAAAACAGTTCGATTTCCGATTCCAGGCGTCAAGTCCGTGTCAGTTTCAAAAGTGCCGCAGTTCATTGGACGGCAGCAACAAAGACAAGACAACCAGATAGGAGGCCAAGAGGGGAAGGATGCTTGAAGTGCTTACCGTGACGAGAAGCCAACCGTCCAGGGTACAAAATCCTTTCTCAACTGTGCCATGTAACCTCAGCCTCTTGCCCAGCGCATTGCTTGCACCAATGTTGCCATTGTTTACTGTTCAGCCTCTTTTCTCTATCCAAGGGGCGTCAAGTCCAAGACCAAGACCGCAGGCATATCGACGACGACGACGACGACGACGACGACGACAACATCAACAACAACAACAACAACAACAACAACACAGGGGCTCATCAGGTCGGTTGAACACGAGAGTTAGGATCTCGCACACTTTATATAACAACCGGCAGACGATAGATCCTGTATCAGCTCCACCCATAGTCACCACTGCATATGAACTCACTATTGATGCCTTTGAGATCATGATCTTAAGAGATATGAAGCAGGTGGGAGGTGGGGTGGACTGCAAACAACCTACGTGCATGAACCTCCAGAGGGATTGATAAGATCGGCGCCAAGGACCTACACTAGAGGGAGGGAACCATGTCACAGATAGATGTCTGACTACCTAGCTAAGATGTAGTACAACTCCGGCTCTCCGCGTCGTCAGTCCCAAGCCAACCTTGGGTGTCCCTCCTTCTTACTTTTTCTTCTTCTTCTTCTTCTTCTTCTTCTTCTTCTTTTTCTTCTGTTTCTTCCTCCTCGTTCATAATTATATATCTACACTACGTATCTAGGAAAATCTACTCCCAGCGTGCTTCGACTATGGCTGATGCAATACTGCCAGGGGTATCTGTCTATTTTCAGTTAACTCCGTCCTTAGTGTTGAGTCGGAGATCGGGTTTCTTATTAAAGCGGGACTATGATGTGCAATAGCTAATAACGTGCATCATCTTCACGTCGCTATCTCGCATCCCTAGCTCACCTGCTGTCGCTGAGCTAGCTGATCGCTGTTTCCTCGTCTCCTCAAACACAAGCAAAAGAAAGGCTCCACCAAACACAGGGGTTTTGATTGTTTGGAAGATCCTAGGCAAACACTTCATTGTGCTAACAGACTTGGCTAAGGAAATCACCTGAGTTAGATAGGCCCGGCAACCTTTTGAGGTTTTCCTCACCCTACCCGGTACACCTCTGTTGGTATTTAGTTTGTCAGCATGGTACCGCTACCTTGCAATATCCAGGGGATTGGAGGTGAGTACAGTCGTGACCCCTGAAACTGCATCCTCCACATACTGCATATATGCCATTTAGTGCATAGGATTTTCAGGTCTGAATTACATGCAGTTTCAGGGGTCACGACTGTACTGCGTACACTACACCACAAAGCAGCCATTTATTGTTTACACTACACTAGACGTAGAAAATAAGGTTATCGTCACTTTGCAGTTCACCGCGCTAGCGTTTTGCACTACATGCCGGCAGAGGGGTACACACCACTTACACTTAAAAAACGTGCTGAAGAGCCACCTCGCCATTCGTGCACTCACCAAGTTCATAACGGACATCTCGAGGAGTCATTTAGATTATCCATCATCTATCAGAAAATCATTTAGTGTACACCGACAGGAGTGCTTGACAAGTCGTTTTCACCTGCTGTCCGTTTTCTATTCCATCAGTATACCAGCGTGTATATTTCCCCTCCCCTCTTGGTGATGGCGTATCCATGTCGGCAACGTCTTTTCAGTTTTGTTGCCCAGTCACAGCTTCCGAACAATGTGTGCCAGCTGCGCAGGAGCTGATGGCCAGCAAGATACCCCCAATCCTGATTGCCCTATCACAGCCAGCTGCCTTCATCGACATTGTCCAGTCGACGACCCCAACACGGAGTGACGGAAGAATTTTCACTTGAGTTGTTTGTTCGAGATTTTAGTCATCAAGCCCGGAAGAAGCCAACACGTCGGCTTCAAAGAAGCAAAATGCGAAAACGATAAGAATGACACTTCATCGTGGCGGACGTCGACGCAATGAAAAGGGGCCTGCAGAAACCCACATGAATGGACGACATCCAATGGGCTGGTTGCTAAGCTTCTCGGTCAACGTTTTGTCACAGCATTGGGAAAGATCGAGAGTTGTGGTCGTTCATGGGTGGTTGATAGGCTCCATGAACCCCCTAGCTTGAAGTACACTAAAAAAAAAAACCCCTCCCCCGGGGCAATGAATGTTGATGAACAAGAACTCCGAGCAGTACCTGCGTCCCCTCCCCATGTTCCATGTCGATTGCACCCATCCAAAAACACAAATCAACTGGGTCACAACAGATAACAGCAAGCATACCCCAAGTACACCTGCTTCACATTCATGATGGGTGCAGAGGAAGGGCTATATACGATGTAATTGCAAACTGTCGCTGACCATAACTCTCCACGCGCAAAAACGACAACCAGACCGAATCTCCTCCGTGCCAATCCTTTTCCAGCGGCTCGCAGATCATTTACCATCCAAACTGCTCGCAATGTAGCTCCACTCCCGGCCCGTCTCTCTGAATCAACCTCGCCGTCGTATCTCTCACGACATGCATGAGCCCGTCTGGTCCACACGCCGCCACGAGTACGCGCTGGTTCGAAGGGACACCGACGACGGCCTGGCGGATCAGTGTGGCCATGTCCGGTCTGCCGGGTCTGATGGCATGCTCGTAACCGTGCGCATGATGGGGATGAGGATGTGATTCGGTACCAGCGCTGTTGTCTGCCGCTTTGCCGTGGTGAGAGACCACGGGAAGGCCGCCGCCCCCATCTTCAAGATCCTTTTCTGACAGGGTCGATGATGGGTGGTTTCGGTGCTGGTGACTATGAGTAGGTAGTGGCAATTGAGGCATCTTTTCGGTATCTGGGGAGCCGCTGCGGCCGCTGATATCGCCTGGCAGAGGAGGTAAAGATCCTCCCGAGGACGATTCCGAGGTGCGCGGTTGTGCGTGGTGCAGCAGGCTGTGGCCATGAATGTGCGGCAAGTGGCGGTGATGCAGAGAAGCGACTGGTGATCGTGTCACGTAGATGGAGACGTCGACCTTCGGTGAGTGTGCGTGATTCTTCATTGTCTCCAGGTGCTCCTTGAACCACGCCAGGTTTTCTACATTACGGACCCAAAACAGTCAGTTACTCTACAAAAACCGTCATAGGCATGGTTCAAGCCGACAAAAATATCCTTCATGAGAGCAAGAATGAAACGGTCATATCGTGTATGGCGCAAGACTCACCGTGTTTCTTCACAGTCCAGATGAACGTGATATTCTTGTGAGGTTCATCATGTAATCTCTCAAGAATATTCGCCACAAGGCCAAAGGTGAAAGTAGCACCTCCACCGCCGGCGATAAGGACAATTTTGTCGTAGTCCATCGGATCCGGAAATGTGCCGTAAGGTCCATCGAGAGACGCCCTCACGCTGATACCTGGGTTGGCAAGCGCATGTTGGTGGAGGTCACGAGTGAAGCCCTCTTGTGCCTTAATGGTAAACTCCACAGAATTCGTCTTGTGGATCGTGAAAGGATGCGTTTCGAATTTGCGTACTGCCGGTATCCATATGAAGCAATGCTTTCCTGCTACCGCCCTGGCGGGTGTCTTTTTGAATATGACTTTGGTCCCACCATCAGGAAGAGGATATAATGTCGCCTCGTTGTTCAAGGCGTAATATAGAACTCTGGTAATCCTGATAAGGCGATCAAGAACCCAAATGGAAGCTGCCAAAAGTATAACGATGATTCCCTTCTTTGCAAAATCCGATCGATGGATTCCAAGCGCGACAATGGCCAGGATCCAGCTCGAAATGTGGACCACGTAGAATAGCTCATAACGAATTCGCCGGAGGATGGTGGCCGAGAGGACTACTGTCAGGAAGGAAAAGCCGGCTACGATAGCCGCGATTTCAGACCGGTCCTGGAACTTTGTAACGATGATTCCTGCTTCACTGAAGTATGTGGTGTACAGGGACGCGTGGAGTACCATCCAGATGAACATTGTATATCCGGCAATCCGATGGAGACAGTTAAGCCTCTCATAGGAATAGGCAGTGAGGAAAGCCAAAGGGGTGTTCTTGAGTGCCAGAAAGATGACGAGTCCCAGGTTTGATAGAGCCAGCCTTGACGCACAGTCTCATTAGTACTTTGAGGCAAAGTCTTGGAAAATACATGAATGACTTACCAGCCAAACCTGGAGGCAAAGTTAGCTTTAGAGCTGGCATCTACGTCCGTGAACCCAACGGCAACATTGGCCACAGCATATGCTATAACGAGCAGCGCATGCCCAGCCGATTTGAAGCCAGGGACCTTGCGAACAAGAAGATTCCTTGCGGACCTAGTGTAGAACCCTTCAGTACAGGCCGTAACTCGAAAGTTGGAGTACGGTACGTACCTCTCAATCGCAACAAAGGGACGTCCCAGTGTAGCCAATGGCTTCCATGACCTTTCTGCTCTAACAAAAAACCATCTCGTCCAGTGGAAGACGATGAAGAGAGCAACTAGGCCACATAGTGCTGCTGCGTACCTCTTCATCATGTGCTCGTTCTTCCGCAGCCTCATGGCAAAAAAGGCTTGCATGGCGGGGCTCTCATGGCCTCCGTCACTCGAAGCAGCTGCTCCTCCTCCTCCTCCTCCTCCTGTCCCGGCGTGCCCTCCGCCACTGGAAATATAAGGTGATAGTGGGACCATTATGAATGCGTAGGTAAGATTCACATAAAATGATGGTGAGACGACGAGTGACGCTCTGTGAACAAAAGCGAAGTGTATCTTCAGGGAGAGGTGAGTGAGGCAGCGCCTCTTCCTCTTCAACCAAGATCTTGGACTGGACTAAAGGGCAGGTATGAGAGACAAGGTAGGAAGGCACCCTTTAAGGCTTGTATGATGGAGGAGTGAAAGTCTAGACCTTCAGGAGTCCGGCCGAGATATATTTCGATATTGTAAACTATAGGTACCTCTAGTCCATGTTGCCTTCCCCCACCCGCTCGGGGCATCTTCGCCGAGTGTTCTCTTACCTGATCAGGTACTTGTTTTTCTTCCCCAGGGGGGTGGTACCAAATGGGAAGTGATTGGACTGGCGAGCAGGATTAGGTCAGTATAAGACCTATTTGAGATAACGAGTGCATTACTTGCCCATCGCATGAAAGCAAGCTGAATCCTGGCAAACACGGGCAGAACGGCAGTGACAACCTGTTGGTGATTCATGTCCGGCATGGTTGCCCAATACCAACGTGGGATTGAAATTGCCGGTCGACATAACTAGGAGCTACCGTCTCTAAACTGGGTCCAAGCATGGAGCATTTCCCAAGGAAAAACTAACAGCAGTAAAACTGCACCTCTCGCAAGGTCTTTTCTGCATAGACTGGGCAGAAGCACGTTCTGTGCCTGGATGCAGGACCCAGAGGGATGTGGCTGGATCTGCCGGGTACGCGTGGAAAATCGATCGTGCGGCGCCTTTTCCCGAGGGTTTTGTGGTTTTGCCTGCTTCCTAACTTGGACTGAGGGTGATACTGAGCGAAGATACTGTCAGCCTAGCAGAATACATGTAACTAACACTTGACTGACCGAACAGGGTAGTGTACGGACGACTTGTGAGAGTGGTGACCATTGTGGAACGTTTGGAAGGTCGAGCAGGACAACCCACGTCTACGGATGCTGGAAGGGTAGCATTTGTAATCTGGATAAAGCGCGGGATATAATCAAAGGAGACTGGATGGACAAGTACCGCCTGACCGTGAGAGATATGGAGAGGCGAGTAGATACCATCTTCTCTCCCTCAGGGTTTGGTCTGCTTGATATGGCATCTCAACCTTATTTGCCCCACAAACGCACGTAATCTAAGCACGAAATGGCTTTAAAGGCAACAGAACCTCTTCTAACGAGTTGAGATCTGCACCTTCTTGGTGTGACTTGTCAGCCAACATCATGGATAGTCCATTCTCCTCGGCAATGGAAGTTTGAAAATGCACCTCTGTGGTGCAAGATGGTCGGGCTCCAAAAGGCAATGGGGGCTCGACGTTGAGACGGAGCAGCGTCTGCCTTATTCAGGGATAAGGACGACCAGATAAGTATCGGGAAGCAAGCCATTTCTCAATGACCTTGTACGAGATGCAACATTTTATCACCCTCCACAACAGCCACGACAGTCCTCAACCTGCAGCTTTTATAGGCATGGAGCTTGATAGCCCACGTGAAGGCACGGTACCTTGGGTGGTAGCGAAGATATGGCGAGTGCATAGCCGAAAACCCCACAATATTATATCAAGCGTTTCGAAAGTGAAGTCCCGTAAGCGTGAGGTATAGACGGGAGTAACTGTGAAATCCGATGTTAGCGGTCAGGTGGAAGTGGAAGAGTGAGAGATGCACCCCAAACAGTAGGTAGGCAGATAGGTAAGCCGGTCGGCAAGGAAAGCCTTAGTACTAGTCTACCGGTAGACATCAACGGCCTATAACTGGATCTCAGGTATAACGACCAAGCCACTTGATATGTTGTAGCCTTTAGGCTCGATAGTCGATACGCAGGGGAAACAAGAGGTTGCCAATTCGAAACGGAGTGATTTGAGAGATACTAGGATGGGGCTTCAAACAGTCGACGAATGAGATGAAGATCTTAGACGGCATTAACGCTTAGGTACAGCAGTTTGACCCTATACACCTCTGCCGGCATTTACTTTGTTAGTTTGGTACAGCCAAGGCGCCAGCCAAGCCACTAGAGCCGTACAGAAAACTAGGATTTATATTACTATAAAAATGGCCATTTTCTGTAGGATCCTAATAATTAATAGAATCTCCTTCGGCTTCGATAACCTTCCTTAACCGTTCCGGTATTGAATGAGCTAGTCTAAGAAGAAATTCCTCCGGAATATTATTCTAGGCCTCTTGAACGGCCTCTTTCAATTTCTTGGGCGTTAAAGATTGGATATTGTGCCTTAATTCGATAAGTGATTTCAATTAGGGCCAAACGTTTTCGATCGGTACTAAATCCGGAGAGTAAGTAAGGAACCTCGCTTCACTTAGAAGAGAAATTCCTATTTGCTCTATTACTCTTTAGGTAATTTTAATCCGATACAAAGGAGCGTTATCTTACTAAAAAACAATATTACTATTCTAGTATTCCCGGGAGAAAGCGGCGACTATCGGAAGGATAAAAAAAATATATTTTTGGACGGTGATACTTCCAAACTCCTTTTCCCAAATAAAATAAGGCCTTTTTCTTCCTCTAACGAAGGATTCCCAAATTATTTATCTATAAAGTTTTCTTTTAACTAAAGAGAAATTTTTCGGATTGTCTTCTTCGTCCAAAATTACCTATTGTTTCTATATTGGATTATTAATTACCCAAATTTCATTGGAAATAAGAATATCTTCCTAATCTTCCGGACGAGGCCGCCGTTGCTTTATTAAAGTATATGATACCGGATTAGTATCGCTAGCGTCATCACATGTCAGATCACCTAACTGGATGGCCCAGCCCGCTCGGTCGGGTTTATTTAATTGAATGAACCGCTCCCACGGGAGCCCACCCACGTATATAGGACCTGTAGATTAGATAAGGCTTGCGTGCCTTAAAGTTAACCGACTGTACACAAACTTCCTACTCTAGATTCTTACTAGAGTATTATCTTACATATATTCAATTAGACACATATTATTGTCACAACGTTCAAATACCCTCTCAACGGTATTAAATAGTAACTGCAACTTTAATTGCTTAAGCTGAACCATACTACACTATTATCGCCGACCGGCCTTATTCAAGAAGGTACTAAGCAACGTCGTATTAAGCAATAAAAGATTACTTCTCTCTTCTAATAAAAATAAGAAACATCTAGAGGTACGTAAGACGAATTTAAGTACTCTTACAACTATATAACCACCCTTCCGATTTGAAAAGAAAGTGTCCTATTTATTTAATTAATGTAATTTTCCCCTCTTTATAGCGAATTTGGGTACCCGTAGAGAATCACCTCGATTATATAACGAATTTAGGTAATTGTATAGTTATTCTACACTCCTCTACCCCGTACGGCGAATTTGAGTAACTATATATCACTACTTAAATCCTAGTATTGTAAGACCTAGATGTTAAAGGTTTCCCCTATTATTAAATTTAGGTACGTAATAGTATTTTCGTCTATTCTAATTCCTAATCGCGTACTATCTATACCCTTAATACTAGTTATTATTATCGTAAAATTATACCTAAACTCGTACTTATTAAATGTACTTTAGGCCGATTCGGGGATCTTTCGCTATACTTAGCTCCTTTATTAAATCCAATAGTCCTATACCAGGCCCCTAGAACATTCTTCCCACTTCCGAAATCGGATTAAGCCCTCCAAACCGGCGAACTCATAATCACAACAATTTAGCAGATACGTCAGATATCCAGAATAAGCACATTCGCAGCATAAACGACGATATCGGTCATATTGAGAGCGAAGCTAACCTATACCAACCCGACTATAATGAATCGTACGTAATATTAATAATAGAACTTCAAAGTAAACCTCTACTAATTAATATCTATACTCCTCCTATTACGGACCCTTATTACGAAATTCAATACCCCTTTATAAGTTATTTATAATACAAAATAACTATAAATCGAAACCTAACAACCGGGCTAACAGGATAATTAAATTAAAATACTTAAGTAAAAACCGATTACGATTTTAGAATTATAAGTCTCCCCCGTAGTAACCTAAATAAAGTTCTCCCGGTAAAATTAATTAAGTTTAATAATAATAAAAAGTCAATTAAATACTTCGATATTAAACTCAATAAATAAATTAATACTTTATTTAACTAAATTACCCTATAATCTATTAGCATTCAAGATTCTTTAGATAAGGACCGTAAGAGAATTGAGAATTTATTCGCGGGATAAATATCTAAAATCGGCAATATACTGGTCGGATAATTGAAAAACATTAGGGAAATAATCGACTAATTAAATAAAGATAATAAAGTAATAAACGATATATAACATTACGAAACTAACAGCGATTTCTAAACGGTATTAAACAAGTAAATTAATATTTAGAAAAAGCATTTGGAAGCTATATTAAATAATATTATTAAGAAATTAGCTAATTAATAAAAGGAGACGGCTAAGATTATTATAAATAATATTACTAAATAAATTCACAGAATCCGTACTGAAGTAACTAAGGAAATTTATAAGGAAATTTTAAAAGGATTATTTAATAACCCTTATACTCTTCTTAACCCTATTCGAATTTAGTTAAAGGAAGATTATAGTCCTATAGCCCTAATTATCACAGGGTTAGCCTATGTGCCTTGTACCTAGTGCCAGCGTACAGCAGCTTCTAAGACTGCCGTACGCTATTATTACTACCGGTAAACCGATTATTGCCGGCAGTTAATTAATTAGAACGCTGCCCGCCGTAGGTCTATCAAACCCGCCGGCGGTTACCTTTATAAAGCCAACCTTCTAAGCACTCAGCTACACTTCTCTTCCTTTCTCCTTCGTATAATTACGTATAATTATATTTACTACCTACCCTTTACCCGTAATAATTAATTGTACTTTTTAACTATTGCGTTCATAACGCAAACCTATTCTCTTTTATTGCGCTATTAATTCTTAATCAATATACGTATAAGAATCGCCTCGTTCGTCGAATCGCCGAATCTAGTACCCTAAATACTAATAATCGTAAATTAC